AAAAACCAGAATATAAGAACATTAAAGTCAGACAACATGCAAAATTGTTTTATATCCACTTTCATTATTTGTCTATTTAGCCCAGGGGTGTTCAAATTTGGCCCTTTTATGACTTGTGGACTTCAACTCCCAGAATTCCTCAGCCAGGCATGCTGGCTGAGGAATTCAGGGAGTTGAAGTCCACAAGTCATAAAAGGGCAAGTTTGAAGACCTCTGATTTAGCCCATTATAAGATACTTCGGCTTTCAAGGTTAAAATAAAACTCCATCTTACATAAAACAGCATGGGCAAGAAAGCATGGAGTATAGCTGGGCTTCAGCTGTACTTGTGGCTTACTGGCAAAATGTGCCCAATGTTATTAGTAATGTCCTTACTCCTAGTAGTGAATTCTGTAGGACACATGGGTATAGCAAAGGCAGATAACCTAGTCCTCATTTTTCCTATTTTACTGAAAAGTGTTATATGAAATCCTTCATTAACTAAAACGACCATGTTCAGGAGAAATAAATATGTATGTATAGTTGGTTACATCTGGTCATGATCATGTTGTGTGTGAGATTGCAGTCTGGAGATTTGCATAGAATAGTAGTGGTATATTAAATAATAGAATTGAAATAAATGCTATCAATATTAGTGCCCAAGAAAAAATGGTGAAACTAAGTAATAAAGTGCTTCAAGTAATAAGTAATAAAAGTACTAAATGCTTCAAGAACATTGACAAATAGTAAGGTTTCAGAAGTAAATTATCCAAATGGAAGCATGTTAAATATTTGTAGGTGTGATTTGCTTATGGGATGGCTTTCAGCTTGTTTAATGTGGTTTAAAAACTGCATCTGTGGAATTGGAAATATATCATTGGAATTCAGAATTGGGAATATACTGTTATAAAGAAAACATAGTAAAGGTGACTACAAAAATGATATGGGAATTAGTTTCTTAATACTAGTTAAAAATTAAAATACAAACTCCAAAGGAGCAAATATTGAGATTTTATAAGAAAAAAACTAAATTTATTAGTTTTTTAATCTTTATTTAGTCTTTATTTAGAACTCTGCATTTATTGATTTGTTCAATGATCGATTTGTTTTCTTGGTTGCCTGCATGATTTTGATTTTTGTAGATATGGACACAACACAGCATCTAAATATCTTCTTCAAGGCCCTCTGGTGTATTTTTATTATTATTATTATTATTATTGAAAAATTTTTATTAACAATTAACAAAAATTTTTAACCCTCAAACCCACCCACCCCCCTACCCCCCCACTTCCCAGAGCAGAGTACAGGGTTATTACAAAAATATTAAACAAAATCTAATTAACTTTAACAAATTATACAGTAACCAAATTCATACTTAACCCTTAACTCTCTTTAAACTTTAACATCATAATATTATAAACAAATCCATTTTAAAACAATTATTATAAAGTACCATAATAACAATAAACTAAATGATTACCATTATAAAATGCTATTAATAATAATTATTATTTAAAATTTAATCATAAAATAAATGGAACTTTTTAGTTCCATATTTAATCTGAATATAATCTATCCATCTTCTCCATACAATAATATATCTTTCTTGTGTATGATCCTTTAAATAAGCAGAAATTGTTGCCATTTCTGCTAAATTAGAAACCTTAAGTGTCCATTCTTCTATAGTAGGCAATGAATCTTTCTTCCAGTATTGACCTACCAATAATCTCTGGTGTATTTCTTGATCACTAGTTCATTTAATGTTGACAAATGATCCTAAAAGGCAGAAGGTATCTAGTAATTCAATATCTTCAGTATGAATTCTAAGGTTTGTTGCTGTACTTCTTATTAATTGGTTCTTCTTTATATTTAATGTTAGTCCTATTTTTTCCATAGTATTCTTTAAATTTAATTTTTTATTTTCATCTAACAGCGTAGCAGAATAGTCTCTTCAGCATATCACAGATAATATTTCTTCCAATTCTGCTTCATTCAGTATATTTTCAATATATAGGCGGAATGTGATGGAAGTAAAGCATATGCAGTGAAGACATTAAGTATTTGCAGATTGTTCAACACTGGGCAAAGAATCAGACAAGGCTATGTGATGTCTTCTCAGTTATTTAATATATTTATAAATAAATTTACAACACGGTAGTAATCTCAGATGTGGATTGGTTAAGAATAGAAAAGAAAAGAAAAGAAAAAAGAAAAATAGAATAGAATAGAAGCTGGAAGGGACCTTGGAGGTCTTCTAGTCCAACCCCCTGCTCAAACAGGAGGATGTATACCATTTCAGACAAATGACTATCTAGTCTCTTCTTAAAAACCTCCAGTGATGGAGCTCTCACAATTTCTGAAGGCAAGCTGTTCCACTGGTTAATTGTCCTCATTGTCAGGAAGTTTCTCCTTAATTCCAGGCTGCTTTTCTATTTGGTCAGTTTCCAACCATTGTTTCTTGTCCTGCCCTCTGGTGGTTTGGAGTATAATTTGACCCCCTTTGTGGCAGCTCCTCAAATACTGGAATACTGCTATCATGTCACTCCTATTTCTTCTTTTCTTTAGACTAGCCAAACCCAAGTCCTGCAGCTGTTCTTATGTTTTGTCTCCAGGCCTTTGATTATTTTAGTTGCTCATTTTAGAATATCTGTGTACTTTTGCATGCAGATTATAGTGTGTATTATCTGAGAGGCTGAAAATTTTGCAGGTAGATTGTATGAAACCTGAATTGCATGGATTTAAACATTTGATAAATAAAGATCAAGGTAGCTGTGTTTGATAGGGAAAATGAAGTGAACAATTGCAGGTCATACAGAAATGGCAATAACATATAGCCTTAAATTGTGACAAGAGATGTAAAGATCACAGACAATATATCAATATCTATCAATAGATTAGACTAATCATCTTGGTCCTCTGTATTTTATCCAGTTCTAGATATTGCCACACTGGATTGTATTTAGAAGAGAGGTACAAAATAAATGGCTTGGGAAGAACAACTTATGGTAAAGGGTTGGAGGCAGTGGGCACATTTAGTCTGGAAATGAGAAGTTTGAAGATATGGCAGCTGTCTTCAAGCATCTGAAAGGCTGTCATGTAGAAGACAAGGCAGAATTTTTCAGAGTTGTTACAGAACAGAAGATGTTTAAATTACATGGAAATATATTTTGGTTGGATGTCAGGAAAATTTTCCTAATGCTCTCAGTGGCTCAACAGTGAACAGACTGCTTGGGAGATAGTGGACTGTTATTCAGTGATAAGTTTAAATAGAAATTGGATTGCAACTGTTAACCTAATAGATTCCTGCCCTGGGTTACTGATTGTTGTAGATAATTGCCAAAATCCTTTCCTTTTTCAAAATAAAGGAATGTTATTAAATTACCAAAACTAATACAAATTTTAAAAAAGAAAAAATAGAAAAGTGCAAAAAATAGAAAATAGAGATGAACATAGAAAGTAAGAATACAGTAAAGAAAAAGAAAGGATATATATAAAGAAATGACTTCTCCCTTCATTACAATTATAAGCAATTTCAGTAAAGTACCACCTTCTCTTAAAATACAAAAAAATCTCTTCTCATATCATTAAAGACTCATTGTTTCAGTCCTGATCAGCAAGTCCATTAAGGGTCACCAAAAATTTTAATAAAATCTATTTTTATCATGATCAAATAAATGAACTTTATATTCTTTTTTTTTTTGCATTTGACAATCTTGACTTTTAGTCCCTTCAGATAAAGTGCTGGAAGTTGATTTCTTTTCATGTTTTCTTGTCCCTTTTCACAAAATTCATCAAAGCATTAGTGTATCTCTTTTATAAATCCATTATAGGAAAATTATTCAGGCCAATCTCCTGGTTTGTTATTTGTATATCCTTTTTAATTATTAAGATGTCAGAGTTTCATTTGTATGTGCATATCATTCTTGTAGCCTGGTATTTTAAACTCCCTTTAAGATCTTTCTCAATCTTATAGGATTATACTTATGACTCCTTTATAATACCTTTTAACCTTAAGCTATCTATAAAGGCAAACACTCTTCAAATTAAATGAGTCCAGTGTTTATTCTGTATTAGTATGTAAAATTTAAGTGATGATGATGATAATAATAATAAAGTTGGAAGGAACCTTGGAGGTCATCTAGTCCAACCCCCTGCTCAGGCAGGAAACCCTATATCATTTCAGACAAATGGCTGTCCAGTCTCTTCTTAAAAACTTCCTGTGTTGGAGCATTCACAGCTTCTGGAGGCAGGTTGTTCACTGATTAATTGTTCTAACAGTCAGAAAATTTCTCCTTAGTTATAGGTTGCTTCTCTCTTCGGTTAATTTCCATATGTTGCTTCTTGTCCTGCCTTCAAGTGCTTTGGAGAATAGCTTGACTCCCTCTTCTTTGTGGCAGCCCCTGAGATATTGGAACACTGCTATCATTTTAAATCTTATTTAAAATCCATCTGCATTCTTAATCTATTTGTAATTTGCCAAAATCAACCACCTTTTTGTTGTTTATACTTCTCCTCCCATTTTTTTAAAGTCTTTAAACTTGTATTTAAAACTTACTTTCATAAAGATTGAAGGAAACTCATGTGGTGTTTTCAGACTCGTTGATCCAAAGATTCCTAATAGTTAAATATCTGTATAAATAACTGTATATCAATATTAATAAAACATGCAGTCTAAATTAACAATAAATAGTATATCTATTAAGGTTCCCCTCCTGCAATGTACACTTGCAATTTAAGGCTAAAATGGTACATCCAAATAATTATCTTACAGAGAAACCCTACCCAACTATATCATTTCGGTGAAAGGCAGAGCAATTGTCTAAGGTAGCAGTTTTGTTCCTCTGACTTCTTTAAGTTGACTCTTTTCATTTCAAGTACATTTTTAAAAAAGAAATTTGATTAAATTGTTTGGATTTGGGGGTTTATTTCATATAGTCCATAATGGCCTATTGTTTGTGTAGTCTTCAGATTGCATTGCTTAGCATGGCGAGTTTTGAAGTATGCGTTTGTGTCCACATTCAGGTATTCTGTTAATGCCTTTCTGCGATGTGCAGATGCTTTTGTGCAAATATATATGAACATACACGCCCAGCTACCATGCAGATAACTATGCAACTGTTCTAGAATTGGTATCTAAACTTGGAATCAGGTACTGCCCTAATCCAAGAAAAGATAGAATTCTGAAAGCCAATTTTACATGGATTTTTATCATGGACATTAAATATGACTTATTGAATTTTCAGAACTACAGCCTATGCATATCCAGCTAAATCTTTAACCATCCATACAGATAAGAATATTGACTTGAATATCTCTTATAACTTATTTTCCATTTCTCTATTTTTCACATAGTATTGATATTTACAATACTCACATATGTACAACATATAGAACATGATTTTGTTCTTTAACCATAAAAGAAAATAATTACAGAATGTAATTCCTCCCAGGCTCATGATGTTAATCTGATTCGTATGAGTACAAGATTTAGGCATATGTACATGACTATAAATTATGACAACATTAATTCTACAATTTGTATGAAAATAAAATTTTCAAAGTTGTTATGATTGTTCTTTTACTCATAAACCAAGTATTCCATACTGTCACTAAGATTTGGACCAAATTATTACATATTTGGACAGCAAATTTAATTTAATCTTTGAACATGCTAATGTAATCCTAAATAAAATATGTGCCAGTTATAGATTTAATAGACTTATCTGAAATTCACATTGTTGTTAATTTGGAATAATATAAATTGAAAGCTGGCAATTCAGCTCACAGAGCCAGGATTTTAAAATGAACACATTCATCTAACTTGAATTGGTATGATCAGATCTTGCCAAATGATGCTGCCAAAATAGTGTAATATATTTTGGATATGCTAATAAAGATATTTCTACTGTGGACATCTCTGGAGCTTTCAATACTAAGTTTTGCTTTTTATTTAAATGAAAATAACTTCTTGGCATCTGAGTTTCTTATATGTCTGGGTTTCTTTAAACATAATGCAATTACATCTAAGCAGTATGCAAATTGTACTTGATAAACCCCTAGGTTTTCATTTTAGAAATCAAATTTTTATCACTCAAATAGTGATAGACATTTTCAATAGGTATAGAAAACTGTTACTAAAGATGGACTTCTCTTATTGAACTGAACTCTCTTAAGATTATTTTTAAGTGGATAAACAGCTTGTCATATAAGGAATATCTCAGTGCCATATTTGTGTTACTCAATTTCACAAAATTTAAATGTTTTATTTTATTTTTTCAATGTTTTATTTATAGTTTATGTTATATGTAAAATAGGAAACTTATCTTATTAAGATAAATATTTTAAATTAAATTTGTGATCTCAAAACACCTGAGTCATAAATTCATATTAAGGTTACTAGACATGTGGGATTCATTCTTTGTGATACACCATGGAATAGAAAAAGAACTCTACCTATTAAATTAATGTATTTCATGTGAAATTATTGAAGATATATGACATATCTGTCTCCATTTTCTGACTTTATTATTCATATTTTATGCTTTCCTCTTGAATCCTTTCCCCCACTTTTCCTGGGTATATCAAACACATACCTCTTACTCTAAATTAACATTCAGGACATTTGGGTGAAATCTAGTTTTCATATGATCAAATGCCCAGAGTCACCTTGTAGAGAAGATAGGCAGAATTTTTTTAAAATTTAATTTGTTAAATAAATCAAATATATTTAATACATTTATTAAAAATAAGTAAACAAATGCACACAGTCTGAATTCCAAGTCTGTCCATTACCAAAACAACAGACAGGTGGAAATTGTCCTTCCCACCCAAGAGAGACAGTTATTTCAAGCCCTGTACATAGAGCAGGCTGGAGAAAGAGGAGCACAAAATTGAACATTGTAATATAAACAAAACTTGAAACAAAGCAGTCACTGAAACTATTTTTTAATGGGTTATTTAGCCTTTTCTTCATAATCAGAAATTATTTTGTCTTGTATCTTTGTATTCTTCTCTCTGTTCAATCCAGCTTGCCCAGGAGAAGTCTGGCAGGTTATATACAAGTTTTTCTTTGTTGTTCTGCCTTGCAGCAATGCATTAAATAAGTGAGAAAATATATGCATTATTAATAAATTGGTAAAATGAGTACCCAGAAGATTATATCTCTCACAACTATGCTGGTTGGTGTAGCTAACATTGCAAAGGTCAGAAGCAGGTGAAGTTGAGCAATGTGCAGAATAATAATGCTAAACATGGACACTTAGCTGACTCCTGTGCAGAGTTTCTAAGCTGGCTGATTCTGGAATGAGTAACCTTATGCTTAATAATGACAACTTAGAAAAGAAATGTATGGATGGAAGTTTTTTTACCACTTATATATCTTCCTCTCTATATATTGAGACATAAGTGTCTAAGACATCCCTTCTGTCTATAATTACTATAGGGATAAGAGGCTTCTAGTGCACAGTCAGAGATGTAGAGAGCTCAGAATCCTATTATTTGTTTGCTGACAGGCACCAAAACACAGAGGAACAAATTCTGGTCTATTTTGTTTACGTTCCTTTTATAATTTTCAGCAGTAGCTGTATAAGCCAGTAAAAAGATTCAGGAGAGAACCTGAACATAATAAAATTGAGAAATTTACAGAATGGAATATTCTGAGACTTTTTTTAAAAAAGTATCTATCAGTGCTAGATTTGTAAAAAATAAAAAATGGTTGTACAAAAATATAAGAAAATTATAAGCTCAATTATAACCTAATTATTGTAATATGTTCCCATAATACAATGCATAACAATAATTTATTGTTTTCCAGTGTGGCTAACATAAATACCTCATAAATTTAATTTCAGATGGGAGATGAAAGAGAAAGAAACCCTGAAAGAGGAAGAAAGAGCGATGCTAGAGAAATTACAAAAAAATTACCTCACACCACTTTCTCTTACCTCAGAAGATAAGGAATAACAGAGGACTTGATAAGAAATATCTTTTAGTTATGCATTCTTAATGTCAAAGAAATAGATTTTTCTGAAAGATGGCATTAAAAAAAAAACCTGCTACATAATTTGTATACATTTTATTGTATTGGTATTTTCTAGGGAACAGCTGCATCTTATATTTTATAAATGTTTTTTTTATTTTCTCCTAATATTTTGTCACATACAATATGAGAAAAAATAGTTTTAACAATTCTTAATATAATAGTAAATTATATATACCGCATAATATACTAAAATCTACAGTAGAATGCCTACATACATACTTTAAATCTGTTATATGTACTGTTTTGGGAACATTTAGAAAGCATATCTTAAACATGAAGCCTTTCCCTTGTCTCTTCTATGTTCTTAGATAAATATTATTATTATAGGTTCTTTTCTGAGTATTTTCTAGAGAGTTGCATATGTGTTATAAGCAAAAGTAAGAATGATTGACGAATCGCTCTGCTTGATTTGCTGGCATTGCCATTACAGTAGCCCTTGTTTAGTGACCATTCAATTATGACAGTTATCAAAAAGTAACTTTGTGATCAGTCCTCATATTTACAACCTTCACAAATCTGTAAAGCAAAGGAAAGATGAAGTACAATCATAAGTACAGTCACAGTTTCACTTAGCAACTGCTTCATTTAGCAATCAGGTTGCTGGTCCTGGTTGTAGTTCCTAAACAAGGACTACCAGCATAGTTACATTCACACATGTAACTGCTTTCTTTTCACATATAGTCCTCAACATACAACCCATTCATTTAAACAGTTCAAAGTTACAACAGTACTGAAAAGGTTATTTCCAACCGGACTTCACTCTTATGACCATTGTAGTAGCTCCATAATCAATTGATCAAAATTTGGTTACTTGACAACTAGTATGTAGTTACAATGGTTGCAGCATCTCAGGGTCATGTGATCACTATTTGTGACCTTCCCAGCTAGCTTCTAACACAGAAAGTCAATGGGGGGAGCCAAATTCATTTAACAACCATGTGATTTATTTAACTGCAGTGATTCACTTAACTACTATGATAAAAAAGGTCATAAATTTGACTATGACTCAATTATGGCCCTAATTGTGGTCATAAGTCGAGGACTATATGTGTCTGTCCATGTGTATTTTTTTTCTGTATTTTTTTTTAACAAGAACACAAAGAAAACTGAGAAGATAAAATATCACAATTCACCTGTTGGTCATATTGAAGAAATATGCACATCAGATACTACAAGGATGTACATCTCATATTTGGAAGAAATTCGTGCTCATGGGCTGTCTTTGTAGAAAGATAGCCATATACAGCGCTAGACACACCTTGGCTTTATTGGGAAGAAGATTTGAATTTAATTTTTCTTGGAGTAATTCTTATTTGATAATGGTTGCTATTGGCATTTAAGAGAATCATCACCCTCAATCAGCTACTAAATAACAATAATTTTAAAACTATCAAAATTCTACAAAATGGATATAATTTACATAGAAATGACAGTTAAAACTTTACACTGCACAGCCTTGAAGCCCTTCTGACCTTAGAAACTACAGAGATTTTAAAGTTATTGGAGATGGCCTTTGTGGAACATAAACTAACAAATTATTATTAACAAAAATTAAATATTTCATATATATATTTGAATAGTCTCCCGTAAATTTGGAGTACCGATAATAATGAAAGGCTCCCAGTTTTAAAGAATACAGGTAGTCTTTGGTTAACAATGGCAATTGTGACAGGGATTTCCATGACCAAGAAACACTGTCATAGAGTGCGATGCCCCAAGAATATGCCAGCGAAGGAAATTGCAGCAGTTCTGGCTGCCTTTGTTAAGTGAGGACATCATAGGATGCTGTGATAATAAAAGCTAGTCCTTCAGATTGTGATCATCTGATGATGATGATGCTACAATCAAAGTTAAGTACACGGTCCATTTATACCTACAACTCGTTCAGCGCTGTTAATATGTTTATAAGGTTTGTAAGGTTGCTGAACAAATGGTCATTAAGTAAATGCATTTATTATAACTTATAAACTTAGCTTATTTATAAAAAAATATCTCTAAACATGATATAATAAAATATTAACTGCCTTTGAAGAACTTGGTTCACTATGGCAATAATATCCAACCAATATTGAAATACAAGTGGATAAGCCCTTAACGTATGTACAAAATTTAATATGTCTCCAGCATAAAAAAGGCTGAGAGTCAACACCTTGTAAACATCTTGTGAGGGTCTGTAGGATCCTCACAAGATGTTTACAAGGTGTTGACTCTCAGCCTTTTTTATGCTGGAGACATATTAAATTTTGTACATACGTTAAGGGCTTATCCACTTGTATTTCAATATTGGTTGGATATTATTGCCATAGTGAACCAAGTTCTTCAAAGGCAGTTAATATTTTATTATATCATGTTTAGAGAGGTGTAGGATAAGAGATATCTTGCATTTAACTTTAAGACAGATGATTGGAAAGGCTGCTATTTTGCCCAATGTTCTTCTTTCTCTTTTGCCTTAACCTATCAATCATTTCCATTAGAGTAAATATTTAACAAAAATATTTGGAATCTCTAAGGTGAAGTCTATTATGAAACAACTCTTACATCTTATAAAAGCAAAGAATTTCAACTTTTAATATATTTACTGATGGAAATCAAGAAATCATAATAAAAAACTTAAATTAAGTTGCCTGGGTGAGATGCTTCTGTTTCTGATTACAGATTTTGAAGATTTCCAGCTATATATTCAGGAAACTCAACTAGATTTCTCCTTGGCAAGGAGTGCTACAGCTATGTGCTTTCAGAGATAATTCATACTCACAATTTATATTCAATTTAAGCTATTATGACAAATAGTTTTATATATGGATACAATTTGTTATTATGTATCATCTATCAAACAATCTTAAATAATTTGACCCATTTTGGGTTGCTTTTATTTTAACACATTGTGTATTTATGTCAATAAATCAAAATATATGAGGTCACAGCCCCAGACTGCATATAAGAAATACAAGGTATAATACAATGTACATTATAGCATGTATGATAAAAAGATCTTTAATCATATTCAATCTATTTTGCTGTCGGCAACATACAAATTTTACAACTATATACAAATAACTCTGCAGCAGCAGAGATCTAAATATATTAGTAATCCATTGCAAATGTCTTAATAAAAGTTACAGTATAACAGATTCAATATACCCATCTTTACAAGGATAAAGCTTTTCAGCATAGACTATTTTGCACTATTTGCCCTCTAATGCTGCTGATGGAAAAATATTAAACTGCAATATTTGCAAAGGTCTTTCAAAATGTATTGTTTATAAGTTGCTCCAAATGTAATGCCAGTTTGATATAAAATGTATTATAACCCAATTGAGCTCTAAGTGACAGCTTGCTATAGTTTGTAATTCCATATTAAGAATCCTTTTTTGAGAGTTAGCATTGTTTTAACACATCTGAAGGCATCAACATTTCACCTGAAAATCATGCTAAGAATATTATGGGATGATATGAGCTACGTATAAAGTTACTGAGCACTCTCATTATATCACAGATAAGTCAAATTATGCTAATATAGGAACACATCCCAAAACCAATATGTATGAACAGTATATAAAATGATTTTTTCTTTTGAAGGGGTCACTCATCTTGTATGCAGGGGGGATTTTTTTACTTATGCATAAATAGAGATATTAATATACCTTTCAGCTCAAATCCTATTTTGGCAAAGGCACACCGGGCTAAGAAACATTAATAAATTTTCCTAGAAATACAGCCTCTTTGCAGCCTCCATACTTAGGTCACCAGATCTTCAGTTCCGATGGCAAAGTCATGTCTTCAGAATCTTGGGAAGGCCAGCATGTTCGGGATATTCTAAAGCAGAGGTCCCCAACCTTTTGAGCACCAGGGATCAGCTTCATGGAGAGTGCTTTTTCTGTGGACTGGAGAGTGCGTGGTTTTTTGTGCTTCCTGCATCTTGCGGATGGAGCTTTGTGCGGACCGGTTGCTGGCAAGCCGCAGCCCAATACCAGTCCATGGACCAGGGGTTGGGGACCCATTCTAAAGAGCACATGCAATGGCATAAAAGACTTTTCTCCTGGGCCCTGCCACATGATGTTCCCACAACATGCCCTTCCAGATGAGATGTGATTGGAGAAGGGTGGTCCCTCACATAACCCAGCTCATGACATGAGGGGCTTTACAGATCATTACCAGCGTCTTGAATTGAACCTGGAAGCAAACTGTTAGCCAAAGTAGCTTGCAGAGTAGAGGTGTAACATGTGCTGATATACTGGCACTTATAACTGCCCATGCCACTATATTTTGTACCAGCTGAAACGTCTAAATGTTCTTCAAGGGCAGAAGTGGATGTGTTACAGTAATCCATGTGGGAGGTTACCAGGGCATGAGTTACTGAGTGTAGGGCTTTCTGGTCTTGGAATGGATGCAACTAGTGTACAGTCTTGAAGTCATGCAATGGGTAAAGACTATCTAGCCACAACTGCCATGTGTTTGTTTAGTAGGAGTCTTAAATCCAAAAGACTCTGGATTGTGCACCTCAGACCATGACTACAAATGACTTCACCCAGAAGTTAAGTAGACGTTAAACAGAAGTGGAGAAAGAACTTGTGGCATCACACAATGTGAAGTGATACCTCTGAACTCAGCATTTTTCATTCTGAGTTCTTTCTGAACTCACCAACAGTCACTGAATCTGCTTGCCAGCTTTACTTTACACTGCATTTTTATTTGCTTTATTTCTTAGCAATCAGAAAGCATACATTTTTCTAATTTCTGGTTTCCATAATACTTAGGTATTGTTTGGTTGGTAAGATAGCCTTTAAATATAAAGCAAACTTTAAAAATAAAAGTACAGCCCACTCCCAGTTAAGGGTATTATAGCCAAAGTTTAAAATGAACAATAAACAATAGACAGCCATCTTTCAAATTGGATGAAAACCTATCTAAAGGCAGTTAAACTATAGTTATTTAAAAAATACTGGAAGATGAAAAAGTTTCTGAAGTCCAATGTATTAAAAATATATTACTTTTAAGAGGATGCTTAGTTCTTTCTGAAACTAATCTCCAGTAAGCTTCTCTTCAAATCACACATGTCCAGCTTGACTTCTTATGCTATCATGAATATGTCCATGTTATTTTCTTGGTTGCAAACTAGACATGGTTTAGTACTGTCTTCTTTCAGAATGTTATAAATTCCTAATGATGGTATTGCCCTGCAATTCTCTAGTGGAATCTCATCAAAGAACAAACAGTCTTAATTCTGCTTAATTTGTGAGCCCTGCTGATTTGAACACTAATGTAGGAGAATACGACTGAATTGTGCTGATACATATTATAAAAAAACAGAAAAGGTATAAAAATTAAAGACTATCTAAAACCCCTGGTGTCCATATGAGGGCCAAGTTAAGTAAATAACGTGTTTATTGCAACAGTAACACTACCTGCATTACAAAGTTGTATAGATATATGTAAAAGGTGGAGAGTGTATCACAATCCATGCTGAAATTTCTGGATTCAATGTCTCTACAGAACTGACAATGCCAAATGATTGCCAATACATCAGGCATCTTGGCATTTTAAAAGTGATCTAAAAAATCAGTTTTGTCTTTTTAAAACTCAAACTTTGGGTGAGATTTAAAAGCAAGGGCCCCAGAAAGTTCCATCTCAGCCAAAATACTTAGAAGTACATCAACGTTAGAAAAGGCTACTTAAATAACAAAGTGCAGGGATTTTTTTCTCATAGAACGCCTAGAACAGCGTTCCGGCACCTTTTTGGAATGGAACCTTGTAGGGTAGGCAAGGTGGGTTGTATGAGTTCTGGCACTTTTTTTTTTTTAGAAAAAAAACACGGACAAAATGTACCCTAATTATCTAGGAGTCAGTCTGATTAAACTAAATGGTTTAATTCACACAGCACACTAAGCCCAAATATAGCCTCTTTGCTCGTTTTATTTTTAGCTCAGTGTGGTTTGTAAATTATTTTACAGCTTAAGTTTCTGATCACATCCAGCCAAGTGGGACTATTCAATGTCATGGCTACACAAACTATGATTTAGTTTAACTATCAACTATCAGATTTGGGATGCAAAAATGCGGGTGACGGCCAGACGAGAGTAAAAACAGGCGTTTCTTTGCCATATCACTGTCGCCTACTGGCTGACCGTATTTCTGCAGTGCAGATTCAGCGGCCCCAAATTCCGCACGCCGCGTGAACTCAGCCAAGAGGAAAATACTTCCGAGGGAACCAATCCCCGATGTATCAGCTCCAGCTGTCAGTCATTTTTTTCTGAAAGTTATTCGTGTTTTCTCTCGTTGCGGAATGAGCCTCAGAAAACACGAATAACTTTCAAACACAGAGGCTCCGACTACTCAGTACCTGCCCACCAGGGCATCCTGCGCGTGAAGACACCACGGCGTTTAGTGTTTGCTCTGCATCCGCCTTTCGAACTGGGGAGGGAGGGGGGAAAGGAAGCGCGAGCAAGAGCGCGAAAAGCGCGAACTTTTCGACGCCCTGGCTTGACTACGTCGCGTCACCGGAACCGGAACCAGGGTTCGATATTTGGCGAAACGGAAGGGGCGGGGTAAATCAAAGCAAAACAGTAAGAGGAGAAGCGGCGGTGCGTCTCTCGGTAACAGTTTTTGCACCGCCCCCTTTCCCGGAATTGCAGGTACGTGTAGCCGCTGCGCTTTGCTTTTGCGTACGCCGTCGGCAGGCAGGGCCCTTTCCCCTCTCGATCGGGCGATGACGAGCCCTTCTGACACCCCCCTCCCTCAGGTGTGCATGTTGAGAGCGAGGAGGGACGGGACGGGGCAGGAGAAGGAACCTTCCCTCCACTTCTGGTCTGCGTCCTTGGCCTTCTGGGACGCGAAGGGCTTCGCAGAGAATGTCGCTTTCCCCCGTTTTCTCTCCTACCGGCGCTATCGGCGGCGGCTGTGGTTACCTGCCGAGGAGGGGAGGCGAAAAACTCTGGGGCGGTAGCGACCCTGTATCCCCGTTTGAGGGGAGGGGAAGGGTTTGCCTGTCATGAACAGGAACTACACGCAGGCGTCGTAGAGAATCACAGGAACTGCTTGTCCTCCCACTTTGCCGCGCGCGTTTTCGAGGTGCTTTTCTTGAGTCTTCTCTGAGAGATCAAACCTGACCTTTCAGGCAGGTATTCAAAGGAGTGTGCCAGAACTAGCCTTAAGGGAAACAGACTCGTCTGGAGGGGGGGAATAAACTACGGACCTGGATTAGGGTGTCTGGTTAATTTTGCTGTCCTCGATACAGGCAGGCGTTGTATTTGAGGCTGAACTGGAGGTTTTAAAAGTGCGAGAGGAACAAGCATCCTGATTTCCTGCAGAATAGTAATACCTGGAGATCGGTCACTAACAATGTTCACCTACATGGAATTTTTAGTACTACTGGTACATCTTTCAAAGCTCACTGAGAGGTCATATTCACCGACATATATTAATGGTGGTATAATAAAGTATTCTGTTCCTAATTCAACTTGCAAAATAGTAATAAAAAATAGGGTAATTATCTTCTGCCTAATATCAGTGCAGTTACTTTGGACATCAGTTGTAATTCTGCAATACTCTGTTAGATCTGTTTACCGTTGTTTACTTAATCAAATTGTTGGGATTCACAAAAAATGCAGTCTGGCATATTTTAAAAGTATGTTGTGCAAACTAAACTAGAATGTCCCTGTTGTAAAAACTATAGCTCTTCTTGAAAAGTGGAACATAGGGTTAGGTGCATCATTGATAGCTACTTTTATGCCAATAGAGAGCAAAGAGTATTCCATTCTATTATGTCACATAATAATTTTATCAGACATTCTTCTCCAGCCTGACAACCTTCATAGGTATTGGACTGCATTCTTGTGAACCCAGACATTACTTTTAGCATCTGTGATGATAACAGGTCATAGTTTCATTATAGAACCATATTAACAACTGCAGTGATTCATTTAACAGCTGTGTCAAGAAAGGTAAAATGGGGCAACTCAACTGTCTCACTTAGCAACAGAAATTTTAGGCTCAATTTGGGTCATATATGTGTTGTAACAAGAGGACACAATGTAACAGCGTAAAATACAACAAAGCAAAATAAGGAAACAAAATACTGATGTATAAATGTTAATGCCTTTTCCCCTGAGGCACTGGTAATATTAATCAGATATTGGAAGTAGCTTTTATGTTTTTTATAGTACAATAATAGTGTCAGAATAAATATTTACATAACTATTCTGCAGTTTCATTTTTATTGCCATCTCTTTCAAGAAGGCTATCTGATGTTTTAACTGTTCCACGATCCCCAGAGAAAATAGGGAATACATCTGTAAGTTAGACAACAAAAGTTTGGCACATTGATTTCCAGTGGTATAATGGAAAAAACAAAACTTTGCAAGTTGGAGTTCTTGCAGTCTTTCTATTTTCTTATAATGCCCCAAAGTACAAGATGTAGACCAGCAAAATGCTGTGGACGTAGTGTACTTAGATTTCAGTAAGGCATTTGATAAAGTAGACCACAATCTACTCCTTGGTAAGCTAGAAAAAGGTGGAATAGACAACATCACCACTAGATGGATCTGTAGCTGACTGGCAAACATACTCAATGAGTAGTCCTCAATGGCACTACATCGACATGGAGAGAAATAAGCATTGGGAAACTACAAGGTTCCATCTTAGGCCCAGTACTCTTCAATATCTTCATCAATGACTTAGATGAGGGAATTGAAGGGGAACTCATCATATTTGCAGATGACACCAAACTGGCAGGAGTAGCCAACACATCAGAAAACAAACTCAGGATCCAAAAAGATCTTGAGAAACTTGAACAAAGGCTTTATCCAACAAAATGAATTTCAGTGTGGAGAAAAGCAAAGTTTTACATTTAGGCAGGAAAAATCAAAGGTACAAGTACAGATTGGGCAAGACCTGGCTTAAAAACAGTAACTGTGAGAGGGACCTTGGAGTCCTAGTGGACGATCACTTGACTATGAGCCAGCAGTGTGCAGTAGCAGCCACCAAAAAAGCTAATATAATTCTGGGTTGTATAAACAGAGGCATAGAATCAAGATCACGTGAAGTATTAGTACCGCTTTATAAAACCCTACGAAGACCACACCTGGAATACTGCAGCCAATTCTGGTCTCCATATCACAAAAAAGATGTTGAGAGTTTGGAGAAGATTCAGAGAAGAGCAACTAAGACGATTAAAGGCTTGGAGACTAAAACATACGAAGAACGGCTGCAGGACTTGGGTTTGGCTAGTCTAAATTAAAGAAGAAATAGGAGAGACATGATAGCAGTATTCCAGTATTTGAGGGGTTGCCACCAAGAAGAGGAGGTCACGTTATTCGCCAAAGCACCAGAGGGACAAGGAACAATGGTTGGAAACTGATCAAAGATAGAAGCAACCTGGAATTAAGCAGAAACTTCCTGACAGTGAGGACAATTAACCAATGGAACAGCTTGCCTCCAGAAATCTTGGGTGCTCCATCACTGGAGATTTTTAAGAAAAAGCTGGACAGTCACTTGTCTGAGATGGTATAGGTCCTCCTCTTGAGCAGGGGCTGGACTAGAAGACCTCCAAGATCCCTTCCAGCTCCATTCTATTCTAATGGAAAGTAACCCTACACCAGTGGTGGAAAACCTATGGAATGGGTGCCAGAGGCGGCACTCAGAGCCCTCTCTGTGGGCATGCTCGCCGTCGCCCCAGTCCTAGCCTTCAGCTGGGTTTTATAAAACTTTTTCACTTTAGGCCTCCGCCACCATGTGAAAAAAAAAAAAGTTCAATCAGTCAATTTCAACTTCTCGTAGGAAAAAAAAAGATCATGCAAAGTTGGAATTGATTGATTGGCTGGGCCACATCCAGCCAATTGGCCACACCCAGCCAATGGGCCACACCCACCCGGCACTTAACGATGCATAAGTGGGTTTTGGGTTGCAGTTTGGGCACTCAGTCTCTAAAAGGTTTGTCATCACTGCCCTACACGATCCATGTATAAGTAGCAGGGGTGCATCTTTATTGATGTTTGAATGGTGTTTCAAAATATAGTGTATATAATTGTCGTGAGATTTGTTTAGGGCTACTTCCAACTAGATAATAATCTTGTCATCCCATCTCTAGATTTCAGCCCTATGCAACATTTGAACTATCACCTTGCCCTGATGTATTTTAAAGAGAGTGGCTGCCAGGTGCTCTCCTTTGGAATTGAAAAACTTAAAGATAACACTCACTATGCATTGAGCAATTGCTAAAATGATGGATCAATATGTGTTCATGTAAGGCAATGTGCCATTTGCATATTGCTATATTTTAATTTCCAAAAGTAACACACTCCATTATCTTATTCTTTGGTTATTGTCATGTTTATTACATTGTAAAATCTATTTCCATAATTGGTACTTTTTCAGTTTTTTTTATTATGAAAAAAATAATAGGATTACTGTATCTGAAATGGTATACACTAATACAGTACAGTGTTATGATGAGGTTTGCTTATTCACACATACCTTTCGCTTGTACAACTTCATTAAAATTGCTCTGAATAGTCAATTAGAAGATACCACATTAACATTCTCTAATATACTTTTCTATGTGAAATGCATAAACACTTCCCCATTATCTATTTATCACTTGGTATTGATATTTAAATGGTGTATCAGAGGTAAGCAATTGTGAGATTTGTTTTTCTAGAACACATTTTAAAAGCAATTCGTTGTTTAACTATTTCCAGTCAAAATGTGTTATTGTTTTATAAAGAGCTTGTTGGAAGCCTTTGATTATAGATATGGTCATCAATTGGCTGGCATATTTTTTATATTGTTTAAATCCTAAAACCCTTAAACAGCTTCAAGGCATTTTAATTAAAAATCTGATATACATTAAAACAACACTAATAAAATGAGAAAATAAAATCAGTGTATCTTGTAATCACATAAAAACCAAGATATAAGCATAAATTGCTATTGTTAAAGTATCATAAATACAAATGATCTGTGCATTTATAATTGGTAGCTAATTTTTTTCTAGATCTGTACAATCATCTTCAGATTGGTACTTAACTGAAAATCAGTCCCACCAAATACATTGGTATACATGTTCAAGATTATTCTGTTAGATGGCTATAATATATATTGCACATATTTGGAAAGTTAGAGGAGATTGTAGCCAGAGATTTTTGAGATAGTGAAAATTTGATTTTGAAGGTTAGAAGCTGAGGCAAAAGTGTGAAGTTCTATGTAATAGCTGGCTGTAATTGTGGCTGAGACACATAGGTAGGTAAGTATAGTTTTTAAAATCAGTGTCAGCGTTTATGAAATATTTTTTCAAGACAGTGTCTAAATTAAAAGAAAATATAAACTAAAGGGAAAAAAATCCTGTAAGACTATTTGGAATTAGTTTTCTTATTTAATGTAGGTAACGATGAAGGAAGCATGTGCCTCCATATGATACCTTTTACATTATGTATAAAGTCTTTGTTTTTGCGCTTATTCATTGCCTTTATGTATTGTTTTAATTGACATGTTTAATTGTTGAAGCACAGTATCAAGATAACTACAGTTGGTTAGGTTATGAAATTGTTATGCTGACAAATAAATGGATTTGAGCTATATAAAGATTCCATTAATAGATAAATACAGAAAGGTACCATGCTAGAAAAATCATAATTACGATGAACTTGAGTGAGAAAGAAAAGACAGATAAAATGTGTCTTTAGTGACAATTTGAAAATAAAAAGGAAAATGAATGTGGATGTGGAAAGAAGTAACTGACAGCTGAGCAAGGAACAGCATATACAGATTAGGTCAGAACTGAAGAGACCATGTCAGCAAAGTTAAATTTTGAATAGAATGAGAAGGGTGAAGGAGGCTAACAACTACAAAAAGAGCTTATTTAGTAATATTTAAATCTAAGGGAAAGGAAAGAAACAGTGTATCCATTATTTGTAGGCTAACCATACCTTGTGTTAAATGGTCTGCAGGAAATGATATTTTGTTGCTTTCAATCGGTAAAAGAGATTGGGGAAAATTGAGTACCAGTAGTCTTCAACCTATGACCACAATTGACCCCAAATTTCTGTTGTTAAGTGAAACATTTGTTAAATGAATTTTGCCCCATTTTATGATCTTTCTTGCCACAGTTGTTAAGTAAATCACTACAATTGTTAAGTTAGTAACAAGGTTGTTAGTAACAATGGTTTCCCCATTGACTTTGCTTTTCAGAAGGCCACGACAGATGATCACATATTTATTCGTTCATTAACTGGAGTAAAGAATTACTTCATATTCTTTATCTTAATGATACTACAACAGAGAAATATATATTTAAGAAAGTGTATGAACTTTTAGAAAAGTATAATCTTTCAAAATCAAAACTAGTATGTGTGGCTACAGATGTGCAGCAGCCAATGACAAGGAAAAGGATTAGCTCAGTTATTGGCTAAGCAGAATGAAATTGCTCCTGATCATTTCATCAGAAGCACTGCATTATGTGCCAGGAAGTGCTGTGCTCAAAAAGTAATATAAATGGAACACATACTGAATTTTGTTAAGCAAACAGTGAATTTTTATATTCTTGAGGTTTGTAGCAACATCAATTTTCTTGAAACTGAAGGTGAAAAGGAAGGTTTATTTTATTATACAGAACTTTGCTGGCTTTCTTATCATTCGTTTTTGAAGTTTTGACAACTTCACCCATGAAATCAAAAATTTTAGAAGTGAGGGTAGAGTCACAAAAACAAGAAGAATTGGTCAACAGAGTTGGCTTTCATTGTAGGTATTATGAAGCATTTAAATGAATGAATTTAAAATTTTGGGATCAAAATTAGATTGGAATGTTATTTCAATGTTTATTTTGTTCCTTTAATTTCTGCAATTATGATTCAAATATTTAAGAATCACTATTTGAATTTTAAAAGCAATTTGAAGGATTCAAAATGTGTGATAACAAATTTTATTAATCAGAGATCCTTTTTTTAATGTTGAGAGTGAAAAATAACATTCAGATGAAACTTGAAATTTACTGTAACACAGTGATAAAAAAGTACTATATAACGAAGTTAGTGTTTCATATTTTTATTCTAATTAAAACATTTTGTTGAAATGTGTATGTTTGCTATAAGAATCTTAATGTTTGATAGTACATAACAATGTGAACATTTATTCTCACTCCTGAAGATAATTAAAATTTCACACAGGGCAAATTAAAAATGAACATTTATTAGCCCTATTGAAAACTGTTATCACAAAAGCTTGAACCCAATATTGAAAAAATAGTTTCTGGCAAAAAGTGCCAAGTTTCTCGCAAAGATTTTGACTCTTATGGTGACATGTTTTGAAATGCTTTCGAATCTATTCAATATTAACCCATAAAATTGTATGTATGCACCTTTTTACAAATAGTCTTTTGATTATAGCACTTAGCAATAGCACCACTTCACGGTGCTTTACAGCCCTCTCTAAGCAGTTTACAGAGTCAGCATATTGTCCCCAACAATCTGGGTCCTCATTTTACTGACCTTGGAAGGATGAAAGGCTGTGTCAACCTTGAGCCAGTGAGAGTCAAACTGCTGGCAGTCCTCCAATATTGCATTCTAACCACTGCTCCACCATGGCTTTTATGAAACAATTGGGATCTAAATTGCTGTTGCTAAGCAATCTCGTTGTGAAGTGCAGTGTCACATGACCACATTGCTTAGCGATAGCAATCCCACCAGTCCCAGTTATCATCATGACCTCAGGACCATGGGGTTATTAAGAGGGAAGAGCCAGGTGTAATGGTCTGTGGGAATGATCTTGGGAGATGGGGCAAAGAATGCTGTCTAGAAACAGTCAGATAAGAGACAGCATAGCCTGCAACTGCATAGTGGGCAGAGCAAGAGGCTTCCCTAATTTCTCAGGCTGTAAAGTTGCTGGTGGGAGAATTGTACTTTCAGACTTGCAAGATTCTATTAATGAACAGTAGGTTTAGAATAAAGTGGAATTAGCTTATCTCTTTGTGCTTCCTGCCTTGTTTACCTGGTGAGGCTGCTAGCAGGAGTCTAGTACAGGGCAGGAGGAGGGCAGTGCTACAGGGGGTGCTAAGAAGTGCAGGTGGGCTGGTGAGGACTGCAGATGGGCCAGCAAGGACTGTAGGTGGGTGCTAAGTTTCTGGCAAGTGCTATGGGTGATAAATGCTGTGAGTGGGTGGGTGCTGGTTCTCAAGGAGTAATGTAGTCTAATTTGTTCTGGTTTTTTTTTTAACCTTCTTTATTCTTCCTGTTAATAGTTTTCTATTAGTAATGAATGAATGTTGAATTTAGGGGAGGAAGAAGATAGTCAATGTTGAATTTAGGGGAGGAAGAAGGTAGTCTAGATATACAGTACCAGAAAAAGATAGCTACCATTTGAGAATAAGCGCTGCAGATCTGCAGACTTAAAAGTGATTGAGAATCAAACAGATTTAGTCTGCTATATCGGCAAAAGCGATCTCAGAGGCAGGCAAATTACTATGGTGAGCAATTTTTTGAAGTAGGTGTAAGACTGTAAAAATAATAAATTATATTGATGAGAGAAAGATGGAAAGTGAAGTGCAAAACTTAAAGCTGTTGTCATCCCAGTCATAGTAGGCCCTCAAACTCTAGATACTAGATTACAGAGTAACAGCTATTTCTGCGTTACTTGTACATTATGCAATCATCCTATTTGATTAAGAGGTTCCTTGAAAAGGAATTATGTGCTTAAGAAATAAAGGCAGATGATTAAGGCAGAGAATTTTGGGGAATGGGATAAAAATTCAGGCTGACTGTTATTGATTTTATTGAAGAAACTGCCAAAAGCCTTAGCAAAGATGGAGAGCAAAGGCAACTTAATGTATTTGCAAAGCAAATTGGGAATGGAAAATAAAGTGCAAAAGCAATCCCTTAAATGAAAAATTATTGTTAGGGAGGATATCTAGAATTATATGCCTATGAGATACATTTTATGACAGATGTTGGAAATATTTTTTCTTGAGCCATATTATTTGTTTATATAGCAACACTTATAGCACAGTGGTTCTCAACCTTTTTAATGCCGCGACCCCCAACTGGTCGTAAGTCGAGGACTACTCAACTGGTCGTAAGTCGAGGACTATTCAACTGGTGCGGCACCGTTTGCAGAATGGGACTTTTGGCGGGCTCAGCAGGGCAGAGACAGCCTGGACAATTCCTATTGGCTTTTGAAAGCCAATAGAATTAGACTCTATTCAAGAGAGTCTATTCTATTGGTTTTCAAAAGCCAATAGAATAAAAGTGAGTAGCACAGCTAAGGAAAAGGGGGAAAAAATGGCGGACTGCGTTGTTTGGCGACCCCCGTGAAATGGTCGTTTGACCCCAAATGGGGTCCCGGCCCACAGGTTGAAAACCACTGGTCTAGCACCTTTTTTCAGATAGTATTGATTTTTTAAAAAACCCTTTGATTTCTGTAATGATTTTTTCTAGTCAGGATATTTCCAGAAAATAAATTTATCATTCTAACTTATAATTTTTTTCAGCTTATCACCTCAAGATTGATGCATGTTTTCATCATTGTCTTAAACTTGCTGAGAGTTTGGATAAACATGGCTCAACTTCAACAAGGAGGTCCTGATGAAAAAGAGAAGACTACAGCATTAAAGGGTACAAATTAATTTGGAACTTCTCCTCCATAGGCACTCCGTAGACTGTGTTCTGATGAACTATAATTTTGTGGTTAGTAAAACAGGTGAGCAAGTGCAAATGATACAACCCACATTTCTCGGCTGCAATAAACCTCTTACATACATCCATAATCCAGAATTTTTGTTCTTTGCTTCAAAAAAGGATATATCAGCACGCAACAGGATTGCTGTTAGTTGTGATAGAGAAGCCAGTTGGATCCCCCTGATGGCAAAAATCCTATAATTGAAAGAAAAATGCTACAACTTATGCACATTAGTCAACACTCAGAATGAACAAAGTAGTGTGTGGGAAAAGCTTTAAAGAGTAAACAGACATACCTTAATTGTTTGCAAGAGTTGATGCCGAATTAACGTATTATAATAATTTCAAAATTATTTCAGTGGAAGGATATACGAAACACCACCATAGTAGCCTGGCTGAATTAGATTTCTCCTTCCCTCCCTCCCTCCCTCCCTCTGTCTCTCCCTCCCTCCCTCTGTATTGGGAGGAATTGTTGCTTATTTGGTTCCTTTTAGATTTCTATAATTTTTAATCTGATACAGTTTGGAATTTTGAATCTTATTCCCTGCTGAACTCCCTTCAACATGCCTTTTTTTTCTTCCTCTGAACATAAAATGGGATACTATATCCTATTTTATATGCTGTTTCTAGTCTTCAGAAAAAAAGTGCCATATAAACTGGCAATCAGTGTATGCTATCCTGAAATATGTAGAAAACTGACAGGACATAAATATAATCAATATGCTCTTCAGAGGCAGTATTCACATGATAGCTTCAGACATTTTCACTCTTAGAAGGCAGGGCATTTGAATCTCCTCACTCTCCTATAGTGCTGTTGTCTTCTGCACTTTCCCTCAGTCAGTTTAGATGCAAGTTCTGGGTCATGTATTGTTATTATTGCAATGGATTTGCATGATCACTGTTTATCATTAGAAAGAAAAAGAAAGAAAGGAAGGAAAGAGAAGGAAGAAAGGAAAGAAAAAAGTGTGTTTGTGTATGTATATGTATATATATTCCTTATTAAGAGAATAAAGATAAGCAGTAATCATGTAAATTTATTGTAATCTTAAATTTACATATTTATTCACTTTTGCCCGGAGAAGAGTGTGTGTGTGTGTGTGTGTGTGTGTATGTATGAAATCGAGAGTAGGTGATAAATATTTAGATTTGTTTGAATACCCTTCTAATTCAAATGTGCTTAGTGCTTTACTCATTTAGGAGAACACATTTCTAAGACCACCTAATCTCCACAATTACTCTAGATGGCTTGCAAATTAAAAAGAAGCATCACAATATAAGAAAAAAAATGAAGGAGAATATTCCATAAGGTTGGAGTGGCCATAGGAAAAATCTGTGATTCTTTTCCTGGCCAGTAGGTGTTAAGTAAAAGTGCTACACTCAATTTGCCAACAAATTTGGAAAACTCAACAGTGGCCACAGGATTGAAAAAGGTCAGTTTACATTCCAATTCCAAAGAAAGGCAGTGCCAAAGAATGTTCAAACTATCGCACCATTGCACTCATTTCACATGCTAGTAAAGTTATGCTTAAAATCCTACAAGCTAGACTCCAGCAGTATGTGGATCGAGAACTACCAGAAGTACAGGCAGGATTTCGAAGAGGCCGAGGAACTAGAGATCAAATTGCCAACATACGCTGGATCATGGAGAAAGCTAGGGAGTTCCAGAAAAACATCTACTTCTGTTTCATTGACTATGCTAAAGCCTTTGATTGTGTGGATCACAACAAATTGTGGCAAGTTCTTAAAGAGATGGGAGTACCAGACCATCTCATTTGTCTCTTGAGAAACCTATATGCGGGTCAAGAAGCAACAGTGAGAACTGGACACGGAACCACTGATTGGTTCAAAATTGGAAAAGGAGTCCGGCAAGGCTGTATACTGTTGCCCTGCCTATTTAACTTATATGCAGAGCATATCATGAGAAAGGCAGGGCTAGATGAATCAAAAGTTGGAATTAAGATTGCCGGGAGAAATATCAACAACCTAAGATATGCCGATGATACCACTCTAATGGCAGAAAGTGAAGAGGAACTAAAGAGCCTCTTGATGCAGGTGAAGAAGGAGAGTGCAAAAGTTGGCTTGAAACTCAACCTTAAGAAAACCAAAATCATGGCATCCGGCCCTCTCAATTCCTGGCAAATAGATGGGGAAGAAATGGAGGTAGTGACAGATTTTATTTTTCTGGGCTCCAAGATCACCTCAGATGGGGACTGCAGCCAAGAAATTAAAAGACGCTTGCTCCTGGGAGGAAAGCTATGGCAAATCTAGACAGCATACTAAAAAGCAGAGACATCACCCTGCCAACAAAAGTACGTATAGTCCAGGCCATGGTTTTCCCAGTTGCAATGTATGGCTGTGAAAGTTGGACCATAAGAAAGGCTGAGCGCCAAAGAATTGAGGCCTTTGAACTATGGTGCTGGAGAAGACTTCTGCGAGTCCCTTGGCATTCAAACTGGTCAGTCCTAGAAGAGATCAACCCCGACTTCTCTTTAGAAGGCCAGATCCTGAAGTTGAAACTCAAATACTTTGGCCACCTAATGAGAAGGAAGGACTCACTGGAGAAGGGCCTAATGCTGGGAAAGATTGAGGGCAATAGAAGAAGGGGACGACAGAGAATGAGATTGCTGGATGGAGTCACTGAAGCAGTAGGTGTGAACTTAAATGGACTCCAGAAGATGGTAGAGGACAGGAAGACCTGGAGGAACGTTGTCCATGGGGTCGCGATGGGTGGACACGACTTCGCAATTAACAACAACAACAACAAAGGTGTTAAGTTGGGATGAAATCAATCTGTAAATACATACTTAAAGAACACCCTGCCCCTTTCCCATAAAAAAGAAAAGTAATGTATCTTAAAGCAGTTCAGATTTAAATTTTCAGTGTAAAAGAAAGCTCTTCTGAAAATAACAAAAATACAAAAGATAAAGATTTTTGCTCCAGTTCCTGCAAACCTAGCAGCTCAAAAGCATGCAAATGCAAATAGATAACTAGGTACCACTTCAGTGAGAAGATAACAATATTTTGTGTGCCTTGGCATCTAGTCATGCTGGCCAAGCTAAGAAACGGAGATGAGCACTGTCCCCTAGAGTCGGATATGACTGGACAGAGGAAACCTTTTCCTTTACCTTTAATGTTAAATCATCTTTTGTTGCTGTTATTAGTCATAGATTCATAGACTCATTAGGTCAGAAGGGATCTTGGAAGTGTTCTAGTCCAGCCTTCTACCAAAGCAGGACTCCTCAAACATCCTAGTCCAATCTCCTGTTATGGAGCACCAACAGCTTCAGATGGCTGGTTATTATGTTGCTTTACACCTCTCACAATCAACAAATTCCTTAGATCTTTGTAAAGTTACAACCACTTGTTTTTTGTATATGGAGAATAAATCCAAACTTTCTTCCCTGTGATAGCATTTCAAGAATTGGAAAACTGTTACCATGTTTTCCTTTACCCTTCTTTGCTCTCAGTTATTTTAACCATTCTTCATAGAATTTATCTTCCAAGATCCACACATTCAAGAGCACACTTTGTTGCTTTTCACTGTTGATTAAGCCCAAGATTGCACTAACTCTTTGGGTAGGTACAGCACAGTGCTAACTCATCCTTAATATGTTGTCTGCCAGCAAATTGAAATCCTCCAAACAAGTACTACTGAGGAGCCAGGTACTGTCTATTCTATATTTGTGCATCTGTTTTTTTTTATTTAATTGAGTGCAAAACTTCACATTTCTCATGATTGGGTAGGATTTTGTTGAATAGGATGCAATATTCAAGTCTATCAAGACCTTTTTGAACCCTGAGTGTGATGTGTTCTCTGCAGATTTGCTGAATATCCCTCCTCTTTCTTCATCTAAGTCATAAAAACATTGAAGAGCAGCGGGCCCAAGATGAAACCTCTCCATGTACACATAGATCCATTAAGGAGCATGTATTATGCATGATTATTTAACCAACTGTGAATCCATTGGTAATAGGACCATTATTCCATTTTATTAAGAGGTTGTGGCTTTAATCCTATCTCAATCCTTACTGAAGATATGAAGTTTAGGTGTATTACATCCACAGTAGTTTCTTGATCTACTAATCTCAGTATATTAATCCAAAAAGATTATTTATTTTTCACATTTCTGAACAGCCCATCTCCCTCAAAGAAGGAGTATAATAAAATTTTAAAATGTAAAGCAGTATGTATAAAGGTTACAAATTTTAAAAGGGGGCAAGAGATTAAAATTAGATAAAAGGTAAAGGATGATCTTCCAGGGGGCCCCACAGCTGCATGCTCCCCTAGACTCCCCATGCAAGGCCACAGAGCCATGTTTTAACTCCTTTTCCAAAGGCCAGGAGAATGGGGTGCTGCCTTGTCTCTAGGGAGAGAATATTCCATAGAGCAGGGGCAACAGCAGAGAAGGCTGTCTTCCTAGATCCCACCATTGACAGAGTCTGCAACATATCTTCTCACCAGTTGGGATGGGCTAATGCAGTGGTTCTCAACCTTTTTAATGCCGCGACCCCCAACCGGTCGTAAATCGAGGACTACTCAACCGGTCGTAAGTCGAGGACTACTCGTGCTGGTGCAGCACCGTTTGCAGAATGGGACTTTTGGCGGGCTCAGCAGGGCAGAGACAGCCTGTACAATTCCTATTGGCTTTTGAAAGCCAATAGAATTAGACTCTATTCAAGAGAGTCTATTCTATTGGCTTTCAAAAGCCAATAGAATAAAAGTGAGTAGCACAACTAAGGAAAAGGGGGAAAAAATGGCGGACTGCGTTGTTTGGCGACCCCCGTGAAATGGTCGTTCGACCCCAAATGGGGTCCCGACCCACAGGTTGAGAACCACTGGGCTAATGTAATGGGAAGAAGATGGCTTTATAAGTAGCCGATTCCATGCCATGTAGAACTTTATAGGTCACAATCTTTTAATTGGACCGAGAAGCAAACTGGCATCCAATACAGTTCACAGAGTAGAAGTGTAATATGAGCCCTTCTTACGGTGCCTAAAATTGCCTGTGTGGCCACATTTTGTTCCAGCTGAAGCTTCTGGGTACTTTTCAAGGTTATCTCCACGTAGAGCACATTGCACTGATCCAAACGGGATATGATCAGGGTATATGATTGACCAACGAGAGTGCCTCCATATCCAGGAAAGGGCATTCAGCTGAAATTTGTTTTTTTCCATATAGGCCCTTATAATCTCCAAGCACCATGAAAGAATGTCCACTGTATCACTTACTTCACTTAGGACGGATATATATAACTGGTGATATACTGGTGATACTTCATCCCATAGTGATGGAGATCTCACCCAGCAGTTTCATGTAGAACACTGTGGCACCCCACAAAGCAGGGTCCAATAACTGTATCTGTCTTCCTATTAACACCAATTGGGGGCAACCTCAGAGGAAGGAGATAAACCAACACAGAACTGTGCCATTCAGGCCCAACTCATTAAGTCAGGCCAAAAAAAATGCCATGGTTGATGGTAATGAAAGACTAGCAAGGATGGATATACCACCTCTGTCCTCCATTAGTGTGACCAGTGCTGTTTTAGTCCCATATCTGGGCCTGAAACCTAACTAATAAAGGTTCAGATAATCTGTTTCTTACAGGATCCTCTGGAGTTGCAATGTCAGTACCGTCACCACCACTTTTCCAAAAAATGGGAGGTGGAGAATGGACAAAAATAATCTAGAATAGTAGGATTCAACAATGGCTTCTTGAGAGGGAGCATAACAACACCTTTTTAAAAGGAGCTGGAAAATTCCCTCCAACAAGGATGAATTCACCAACACTTGGAACATCCACTGGACACCTCCTGAGTGGCCTTAACCAGTCAGGAGTAGTATGGATCTAATGCACAGGTGGTGGTGTTTTCGTTCTGGAGGACCCTTTCCACTTCCACAGGTTCAACAGAATCAAACCGTTCCCAGATAACTGGATAAATCTGCTCCCTGGGCATCTCTACAATATTTGTACATGCTTCATATCCAACAGGAAATGAGTCAGAATGATTTTATCCTCCAGATGCATGGAAAATTCCTCCACGTGATCCTATAGATGGGCCTCTGGGCTCCTTTTTCTGAGGATTGTCTGGGTAACCCTAAACAGGGCCATTGAGTGGCATTCTGTGGATGAAATAACAGTGAAGAAGTATTGTGATTCATTGAACATGACCTATTATTAACCAAACCATGCTGACTTTTAATAAATATGATGTTGTTTTCCAAGTACTTGCAATATTTTCTTCATTTTTTTCCCAAGTATTGGTGTCAAGCTGATTGATCTGTAATTTCCTGGGTCTGTTCTTTTCCCTTTTTAAAAGATTGCAATAATGTTAGTTTTTCTCCAGTTTTATGCTGTTTCTGATGTATTCCAGATTTCTCAACGATTACTGCCAGTCGTTTTGAGATTACTTCAGGCGCGTTCTTTAGCACTCTGTGATCTAGTAAATCCAGCTCCAACAATTTGAATTTATTCAGACATATAAATATTCTTTGTTCCTTGCCTGTTTTGACCTGTATTTCTCTTGTCTCCCAACCAACCCCTGATGCTGCATAATCTGGAAGGTTAGGCCAGTTTTTCCTTTTGCAAAAATACAGATGCAAAAGATTATAGTTTTGTCATTTATTTTAAGAATAAACTCTGGTCAGAAATGAAACCAAACAAGGTTCCTATAATCATACTAATATAGTTAATCATACTAGTATATTTCTGGAAATCCCAGCATTTGTAAACAGACCAAATTAAGTTTTTAAAGTTAAAAGGGCAATTCTTCTAAAATAATCCAGTAGCCTCAAAAAATTGAATGTGGGTTGAAAAAGAAAATTGGGAGATTTGAATTGGCAGCTTCAAAATCTTAATGTTGGTAACCTGAAAAAAGACATAGCTTGATGGAACTCTGTAGGAAGAATATATTGTCGATATTTTTATAGTTTTTTTAAACTTAAACATTTTATGTATATACATACATTGCTGAATATGTTTGTGATAAATTAACAATTCTTTTAAAATCACTATTTTTGTTATAGAAGTAATAACTTTGAGGTCTACAGAAAGACTATCTTCTTCCCCACCTTTTTTCCCCAGACTTGTTGTCTAGAATAGACTTGGATGAACTGATGAAAAAAGATGAACCTCCTCTTGAGTTTGCTGATACTCTTGAAGGATTTGAATACACTTTTAATGAAAGTAAGTAATAATTTCAGGGAAAAAAATCATTTAAAAATAAATATTTTTCCATGCCTTATTTTTATAGCTTATACAGATGTATCAAATAATTAGTACAAGCAATAATCTGAAATAATTTTTCCCTGGTTAGAAAAGTATAGATATTCACATTCTTGCTGTACATGAATAAAAAAGAATTGTAAATACACATTGGGGAGAAATCTGAATCTTTTTCCTTGAAATAACATTGTGAACTATACCTTAACAACTGATCCTAAAGATACTGCAGATTTTAGTTTAACAAGATACTAAAAATATAAATACTAGCTTCATTTCTTGTGTCACCTTTTTTAATTTTATGGAAGATTTTTTTAAAAAATATAATCATATATATATATATATATATAGCACTTTAAATTGTCAATTACAATTACATTGTCTATCCATGTGATCTAGAAACCCTGTTAATAAAAGTCAGGGAGCAAAGTGAAAAAATAGAACTTAGATTACATATAAAGAAGACCAAACTAATGATAGCAAGTATAAAAGCTACCCTTAGAATTGACAACAATGATAATGTATTAGTAGATTGTGTTTGGCTTTTACATTTGGCTATTAATCATAAAGAAACCTGAAGAAAAATGGTAGTTGCAGACCACTGCTTGGTAAGGTAGCAATAAAGGTTTTGGAAAAGGTATACATATGCTGTGATTTGTTTAACCTATGAAGATCACAATCTGCAGGCAATGGTTTTCCCTGTGATACTATAGGGAAGCAAAAGATGGACTTTCAATAAGCAGGATAGAAAAAGTATTGACATTTTTGAAAGCTAATATTAGAGAAGATACCTGAAAATTACATAGATGATCAACACAATAAACAAATGGATCATGTGAAAGATCAATCTGGAGTTCTTAAATTTGTATTTGGTATTCATGGTGCAAAGACCTAGCTCTCTTGAGAAGTCTATAACTCAGGGAAAGGTAGAAGGAAAGGAGAGGATGACCATCAACAAGGTGAATGGACTCAAATTACATCAGAAAATGGGTGCATTGTTGGAAGACATGAAGGAGAAGATTGGTGACAGATCATACTCAAGAATTTCTATGTGGTCACTAACAATGACTTCATGACACATAAGCAATTAAAAATATAATACTTAGCTATTCAGTAACTCAAAGAGTTTCATTGGAGAGTATTAAAAAATCTTGCTTGTTAAGATTTTAATTCTTTGAAACAAATAGTTCAACCCTTTAAAGCAGTATTCTTCTGCCTCGTTCTAGGACTGCTCATTTAATATTGCATATTAGCTTGCTAAAAGCTAGTAACACATAAATGTTAATGCATGATGCTAAAAGGTTAAAAGTTCAGCCATCCTTGTGTTTGAAAGGCACTACTATATTCTAAATAATTCTTTATTCTACATCATCCTACTGGGGCTGTTACTAGAATTTTTTATATGTCTTTTTAATATCCTCATTCATGGTTTTGTGATTTGGAGGGAATTTTATTCTGATTTATCCAAAAAAAAAAAAAATCTAGAAGATGACTCGGTGAAAATTAAGAGCACTATACTACAATTCAAAACAGTGCTCTAATTTCGTTAGGGAGAAACTTGCTTTGAAAATAAACACAAAGATTGAGCAGGGATTTTTAAAAAATAGATGTGCTAGAAAAAACAATGATTGGCATTAAGGAAGGTATATTAAAACTGGATGTGAAGTTGAAGTAGAACATTTAATTGGCAGTTAGTAAACACATTGAAATTGATAATGAATAAAAAGGTAAGAATACCTTTTCTTGATCAATATATTAAGAGGCAGAAATTTTGAGATAGCGTAAAGTACTGTACATACTTTATACTAGACATGACCTTCTCAAACAAAAGATCTTATCTATTTGTTTAGACAAAAATATTGAACTGTATACAATTCAATATAATTTCTATGTTCTGCTCTTATATCTATTTGTTTTCATCAGTAATTATATCTATGCAAAATAAATCCATAATGTATGAAAAATATTTTTTTGTGTGAGAGAGACTTCTGATGATTGCCTGGACTAGTTCCTGCAGATTTCTTGGCAAGTTTTTTGGAAGTGGTTATAGGTGCAAAATATCACCTAAAATAGCAGTGCAATATCATCATTATATTTCAAAAACTCATTTTTGACACCTTAGGTAAAGGGAATAACTGAAGAGAGAATCTATTTTTAGTGATTTTATCTATTATGCACTCATAACTAAGTGCATAAGTGTATAAGCGTGGTATAAACATAGACCACAGTGACTCGTCCAAAGTCACCCAGCTGGCTTTCATGGCTAAGGTGGGGCTTGAACTTAAAGTCTCACGCTTTCCAGTCTGGCACCATAATCAGACTGGATCTCTTTATGGAATATAAACTACTTAAAGTGGATATGTTGTATCATGAAGTGTTACAATGAGTTAGCATTTTGAAAGTTGTGTTTTAAATTTAACACTATTATTTTTCTTTATAGAAGGGCAGTTAAGACATATAAAAACTGGAGAGCCATTTGTTTTTAACTACCGAGAAGATTTACACAGATGGAACCAAAAACGCTATGAAGCTCTTGGAGAGGTATATATTACTTACAAATAATATAATAATGTATACAGTCTGCCTGTTTTATTTTATATTTGGCTTAATAAAGGGAATAAACGTATTTTTGTAAGGATAGCATTGTACTGAATAGATTTGAGAACAAGGAATAATCTTATCTGGAAATTACCTGTCTTGCTTTAAGGGTGAACTAACTGTTCAGGGAGGTTTATATGTGTATGCCTAATTATAAAAAAAATATGACATTTTCTCTGTATTGTACAAAAACTTACAGTTATTATGCCAGAATTTTTGTTGCAAATTCAGATATGAATATGAGGAGGCAGTTCCATCTATGTTTGTTTATTTGTTATATAGTTTTTTACACATTTAACCCATTTGTGTTGATTTTGAACTCATTGATATTTTATCAATATCAAAAAAATGTCACGTTCTTGTTAAATAATGTTTTAGCTTGTCTTGTGTACAAGTAGTCCTCACTTAACAATGGTAAGTGGGACTGGAATTTCTGTCACTAAGTAATAAGGTCGTAAATATAAAATCACATGGCTGCCACATAGTAACAGAAATTCTGGCACTTAGGTTGCTATTATTAAACGATTCATTGCTGGATGTTAAGCGAGGATGTCACATTGTCACCGTTTTGCAATCTCTTACCAATTTTCCCAACTTTGCTTGTAGGAAGCTGGCCAAGAGGTTTGCAAATGGTGATTACATAATTGCAGGATTCTGTGACTTTGTAATTGGAAGCCCATTACCATGTGCCTGAGTTATGCTCACATGACTGCAGGAATAATGTGATAGGCTCTATTATGGACCTAATTGTAGTCCCCCTCATTCAGAGCCACTGTAAGTTCATCCGGTTGTTGAATGAGTGGCCATTAAGTGAAAACCACTATAATGGATGATGCAAGAGAGACTATCAACTCTGGCATAGCTAGACATTTGTCAGTCTCTTATTCATTGTTTAGAGGAGTGACAGACTGAGCTACTGTAGTATGCATTGGTGTTAAGTCTGATACTGAATTTAATAAAAATTAAAAGGTTATGTTTTCTTTTGTGCTTATGTTGAAAGCATGTGAGAAATAATTAACCTTTGATGTCATCAGTTTAGTATGGCAGAAAGATCATCTGTAAATGTGTCCATGTAGTCAGTCAAGTAGGATGGCTTTTCAAGGAGCTATGCCAGGTCCGCAAGAGGGAATGCCATTGGACCTTTCAGGCATCAGGTTCAGAAAGTAGCCATGGGAGAAATAAGAAGCCTTTTTCAGGCAGCAAGTTCCAGAAGGTGTACAAACTGCCCCTCAAATCAAATCACACAGCCCTATTTTTAATTGGAGTAAAGTTTCAGATAAAGCTGAAAATGTACCTTATTTGAACATTAATATGGAGACTATAAATATCAATGAAAAAAGTTGGCTCTTTTCCTGCTGTTGGTAACAGCTAAAACTTAATAGGATATGTTATCTCATTGTAGCTTCCATAAAACACTGAAAATCGAGATGCTGAGAAATATTAAATTGAATCTTAACTATATTTGGGGAGGGAGAAAATAAAGGATGGATGAACATAATCTATCAATTAAAGCATAAAAGTGATTTAAAAATTTAATAGAAGCATTAATTTTTGAAAATTATGTTTTTTTCCTCCTATTAGGAAAAGTGCCAAAAATGAACAGATGGAGTTATCTTTTTCAGGAGAATGGACAGTATCACTTTTATTCAAAATACTTAATATTTTTCTTTCTAAAAGATTCTTATCTTTGACCAATTTATTGTTTATAGCAAATCTCTCACCTTGGGTACTGAACTTCCCATGGCATTGACTGTGACTTGTTTACATTTTAGCAATATGGTAGGCTGCAAATGAGCTAAAAGGTTTTCAAAATACAGATTTCAAACTACACTATAGATTTTTCAGCATAATTTAGTAGCATGCTAAAAAATTAACAATTTAAATAAGGCACTCTTGCTGTAGCAGCAGCAGCTGAAGCCTCCATAGCTTTAGGAGTGCCTGGGAGCAGAGGCATCTGGCTGCAGATGGTACAGAACTAGTTGTGGAATTGGGGGAATGAAAAATAAGAAGGGGGAGAAAAGTATTTGAATTAGGCTATTCTAAGCTCTTACACAGTTCTTGCATTATTTGACATTATGTCCTGTTTTAAAGCTGAAAACAATATAAAGCTAAAAGTACAGAAAATAAAATCCATATTCCCAGCTGGCAGTTGTAATTGAAACAGCGAATATCTTAAGGGATGCTCCTATCAGAGGAAGTATTGAATATCTTAAGGTCAGTTTCAGAATTAAATGGTTGTTGATCATATTTATTTTACCTGCAAATATTTATTCCCAGTTTTAATGCCAATCAAAGATAAAACATGAAATTTATTAGTTAAGTAAGATTTCTGGGAATTCTTACGTTGGAATAACTGCTATTTTGGTGCAGAGAAAACCTAGAAATGAATAAATAAAGGAGCTGGAACACAACCTAATCCCCCCAAATCCCCAAACACACTGAAATTACTGAGAACCAATTATATTTAATCTGATTTCTTCTAACTTTATAAACTAAGCAGATAGGAGTCCAAACTCATATTAGCAAAATAAAATTAGAAATGGGCACTTCTCATTGTCCTAGAAAATGTATCATTTGCATAAAACAAAGTATAACATTATACTCTGTGTCCGTACTATGATCCTTTTAATATATTCAGGCGTTCTAATATAAGTAAAAATTTTGATGGCAAATTGAAAAGGGGATAGTGAATATTTATCACAAAAACTCACAATAAATGACTTTGGGAAATATACATTAATTAATTAAACAATGCATATATAAACAATTATTAAAATAAAAAACATAAAAATAAACTATTGGAATGATCATAGCATAACTTAAACTAAAATGATAATACATAGTAATAATGCTTGATTTAGGTTTTAGATTTTGTACTTGATATAAAACAATTCAATCTAAGCTTTAAAATTTTGAGAAAATTCATATTAATTTTTGCTTAGTTTGAATATTTCCAAGAAACTATATTGAAAGCTTTCTTGATATCTAAAGAAGTAAGAACTTCTAGATTCTGCCTATTTTAAGCAATTGTGTCAATATTAACAATATTACCAGAACTTTGATGATTATATATTAATGCAGCATTTCAGCATACACAACAGTTATTAAAACATTTTATTTTACAAGGAAAAATGCTAATAATAGTTAAGCATTCATATTTATCAAATAAATGTGTGGGTAATTGATAGAAATAGCACTTAGACTTATATACTGCTTCACAGTGCTTTACAGCCCTCTAAGAGATTTACAGAGTCAGCGTATTGCCCCCAACAATCTGGGTCCTCAATTTACTGACCCCAGAAGGATGGAAGACTGAGTCAACCTTGAGCTGGTGAGAATCAAACTGCTGACAGTCAGTAGAATTATCCTGCAATGCTGGATTCTAACCAGTCTGCCACCACTTCTCTCTTGATACAAATACTAATGTTTACTTCATTAAGGTAATAAGTAAAAGTTTCAATTGAAATCTCCAATAGAAGATTAAAACCCAATCTGCCTTGTGTCAGAGAACTAGAAAACTACTAGAGTCAAAGAGAATTTTCAACTTTCTTACTACTGATTGTAGAAACAATTTCTTGAAGAGAAAGTAGCGGAGTGAGATTGCATGCAGCTCTAGGATAGATGTAGAGAATCATTTTTATCTGTTGATAAGAGATTTGAATTGTATAATCTGGAACAATGATTTTTTTTAAAAAAACTATTGCTTGATTAATCTAAAGTTGGTATATATTTTCCCACATTATATTAGAAATTGAACTTTACTTCTTGCTTAATTTGTTTAAATCTCAGGAGATACAGGACATGAATAATTCTTTAATTTCCTTCACTAGAAACTTAAGTTTACAATAAATACCTTTGTTGTTTCTTATATCAATATAGTGATGAAACAGAAATTGAATATGTAAGAATTTCTTGATTTCTCACTTTAATAAATTATTATTTTACAACAATTATATATTTAGTCCATTGAAGTTACCAACATCGCAGGAGCATAGTCTGAAATATTACATGTCTTAACATTAAATACTAAATAATGAAATATCAGTAAGTTTAAATGAAAAGTTTTATGCATGGAAAAGGAGACATGTATACTGGGAGCAATTAGAATGCCAAATACCAGACTAAATTTGCATATATAATCTTGCAGAATATATCATCTTGAGATATTTATTTAGTCAATTTATATGGCTGCCTAATTCATAGACCAGTGATGGGAACCTTTTAGAGACCTAGTGCTGAAAAGCTGCCCTGTTCCCCCACACACTCTGTCCCCTGCCCTGCCTCTGCTACGCCCCCACCCCACCCGCCCGCAGGACCATCCACCGCCTCTACAGCCTGCTCTAGCAGATCGCCCAGGCGGCCCAGCAGCGTCGTGGCGGCCATGCCCTCGCCCGCACCCCACAGTATCATCTACACGCGATGGGGTGTGAGGGTGGAGTCTTGTCCCTGCTGCAATGCTTGGCTGCGCTGCTCTGTGCAGGCCGTGCCCAGGGCGACTCTCCTCCAGAGGGGCTGCTGGTGAGGAGGGGGCCATGGGGGAGGAAGGGTTGGGGCAAGGGCGCACATGCCCACATGGAGGGTTCCGAGTGCCACCACTGTCATAGACTGTGACCCTTCCAATAATTTATATTCCAACTGTTACAGATGTGTTTATTCAGTGTTTTGACTCTGCGCCTACAATAGTTTAACAAATAGTTAAGTTTTAGTTTTTTAACTAAAAAACTTATTTTTATTTTGCTTCAAAATTATGCATCAAAAATAGTGTGGCCATATATAGTATGCTGAGTCTGGCAGAGGTCCTATCATTGTTAATATTTTTTTTCTAGTGAAAAATATTATTTAATACAAATACTTGAATACTTGGAAAATAGAAATGAATAGATCGCTTATTTTTTCTGTTCGGGTTGCTTACCCAAAATTTACAGATCCATTTACCATAGCTAAGCACAGATCACATTTTGGACAGAAAATTGACAATGACTTTGGGGATTGGAGCAGAGGCTGAATGGACTCATTGTTTTTTTGTTTGTTTGGTTGGTTTGTTTTTAATTTTTATTTTTCCTTTTTCTCTTTACAAACAAACAAAATACACGGTACATTTTTTCTTTTTTCTTAACAATACTATGTCCTACATCTCTTACATTTATTTACATTACTTCTCATACTTTTTTATTCCTCGATTCTAACCAGTTATAGTACATGTTCCATATCTCATAGAATTCTGTAGCTTCTTTGTCTTTTAGTTCTAAACTAAGTTTGTTCATCTCAGCACAATCTAATATCTTATATATAATCATTGCATTTGTTGGTATGTTCTCTCTTTTCCAACATTGTGCATATGCAATGCGTGCTGCAGTTATAATATGTATAATGATATATTGGAGTCGCTTCTCAATTTTTGGGTTGATTATGCCTAATAAAAATATTTCGGGTTTGAGTTCAATTTGTTGTTTTGTTATTTTCTGTAACCATCTCCTAATCTGTTCCCAACAGGTCTTTGCTTTGGGGCATTGCCACCACATATGATAAAATGTTCCTTCTTTGTTTTTACATTTCCAACATTCCGGATTCATATTTTTGTATATTTTAGCCAATCTCGCCGGTGCTAAATGCCATCTGTAGAACATTTTATATTGGTTTTCTTTGTATGCAGTTGACAACCTTAATTTGCAATTTCTGTTCCATATTCTTTCCCATTCATCTAATCCTATATTTCTGCCTATGTTTCGGGCCCATTGCTATCATTGGGCCCTTTACTATTTCTTCTTCCAATTCAATTTCTAATAGGAGTTTATAGGTTTTTGTTTAAAAAATTTCTCCCTTATTTGTCAATATTTTATCCAATTGTTGTGATGTCCGATTTATCCCATACTCTTCTATATCTTTATTATATTTTGATTTTATCTGTGTATATGGCCACCAATCAATAATTATTCCCTGTTCTTTTAATTCATCTCTTGATCTTAGCTTCCCTTGGTTGTCTAATAGTTTTTTATACCATCATCTTTGTTTTGTCTAATGTGTTTGGGTGAATCATCGCCTCCATTGGTAAGATCCAAATTGGAATTTTTGTGTAGTATTTTTTTTAATTTTTTCCCATATCCAAATTAATGCATCCTTTATCTGATGTCGGAAGAAATATGTGTGAGTTTTCCTATCTTTCCCCCATAGAAAAGCATGCTATCCAGCCTGTAGATCATGACCTTCAATTGTTAAGATCCTTTTATTTTCTAAATTTATCCAATCACTGATCCAAAGCAATCCTGCTGCTTGGTAGTAAATTTCCCATTTTGGGAGTCCAAGGCCACCTCTACTTCTACTATCCTGTAACTCTTTAACATTTATTCGTGCTTTTTTACCTAACCATATAAATGTATTAATCATTTTATTTAATTCATCCAAAAAAATTTCCCCAATTTTATTGGAACTGTTTGAAAGAGGTATAATAAGTTTTGTAAAACATTCATTTTAATCGCTGAAATCCTTCCTAACAATGATAATTGTAGTTTCCCCCAAATCTCTAAATTTTTTTGTATTGTAGTATCAATTTTTTTATAATTATCTTGTTTTATTGAGGAACATCTTATGGTGAGCCAAATTCCTAAATATTTAATCTTTTTTACAATTTGCAACCCCAAATTTTCTTCTAATCCCTTTTTTTGTTTTTCAGTTAAATTTTTAACTAATATTTTAGTCTTTTCTTTATTTATTTTTAGTCCTGCCACCATTCCATATTTTTCTATTTCATTCATTAAAATATTGCCTCTTTCTAATGGTTCCTCTATAAAGAACACCATGTCATTTGCAAATGCCTGTATCTTGTATTCTTCTGTTTTAATCTTTAATCCTTTTATCTCTTTGTTATTTCTGATTTGAGTTAGTAACACTTCTAACATTAGAATAAAAAGTAGAGATGACATTGGACATCCCTGTCTTACTTCTTTGTTGATTTCTATCTTCTCTGTATTTTCCCCATTTATTATTACTCTAGCCTTTTGTGTTCTATATATTGACTTTATCATTTGTTCAAACTTCTCCCCAGATTTCATGTTTTCTATTTGTTGGAACATAAATTGCCAATTAAGGTTGTCAAATGCCTTTTGAGCATCTAAAAATACTAATGCAGCCTGTTTTTCGGGGTGTGCTTTGTAATATTCCAGGACATTTAGCACAGTTCTCGTATTGTTCCTAATTTGTCTGGTAGGTAGAAAGCCGTTTTGATCCGAATATATTGTTTGATTTAATATTTTTAATCATTCCGCCATTATTGTAGTAAAAATTTTATAGTCCGAATTCAACAGCGAGATTGGTCTATAATTTTTTATTTGTTTAGGATCCGTATCTTCTTTTGGAATAAGAGTTATGTTGGCTTCTGTCCAGGAGTCTGGTAATTTGGCTCTCTCCAATACATCATTATATACATCTAGTAATATCATTTCCAGGTCTTCATATAAAGTCTTATACACTTCCCCAGGTAGACCATCTGGCCCCGGAGCTTTATTATTTTTTTGCTTTTGTACTGCCATTCTTAGTTCCATTGCTGTTATTTTTTTATTCAATAATTCTCTTTGTCCTTCTTTTAATTCCGGGAGACCATTGGCCTTTAAATATTGTTTTGTATTCTCTTCCTCTGTTTCCTCTTGTTTATATAGAAACTCAAAATAATTCTGAATTATTTTTTTCTTTTCATCTATTTTATATTGCACCTCTCCATTTTTGTCCTGTAGTTCCTGAATAAATCTTTTTTCCTTTTCTTTTTTTAATTTATAGGCAAGCCACCTCCCAGGTTTGTTTGCATGTTCGAAAAGATTTTGTTTGGTTGTTTTCCGTTCTCTTGCCAATTCCTCTTGTTCTACTATATTTAATTTATGTTTGGCCAGAGTCATTTCCTCTTTAATCCTTTCATCTTGTTGCTCCCACTGTAATTTAGATTCTAATTTTTTAATCTCTTCCAAAAATATATTTTGTGTCTGCCTTTTCACCTTATTTTTCCTAGCTGTATATGCTATTGCTATATCTCTGAGATATGCTTTGGCGGTGTCCCATATAATTTGTAGTGATGTTTGTTGTTTAGTGTTCTCTTTAAAAAATAATCCCATTGTTAATATTTTAATTATTAAACCACTTTAATAATTATTAACCACTTCAGCTGTTAAAAAGGATGAAAACATGCATCAGCTCTGTCTTTGGGACGGAATAATTGCTTGGAACCATGTTTAGCTAAAATGTCTTTTGTATTTGAAAGTGAAAGGGGTTCAAAAAGTTTTTTTAATGGTTATATTTTAAAACAAAAACACAAAATGTTTTTCCATTGTTATTTTATGTAAAAGTTGTTTAAATGGTTAAGTTTAGTATCTTACAACCTAAAGGCTTTTGGTTTGCGTCTGTTAAAATTCTCAGAAGAGAATGTTGTGGATATTCTTATTTACCTGTATTGTTAATCTGTCTTTTTTTTCCCCGTATTCTGCGTTATGATTTTCTTTTTGTGCTTTTGAGTCAGCCACAATTCCTGATGATTAAATGGACGACCCCCGCAGTTTTCTCAGCAACACTTTCAGAAGGGGTTTGCCCTTGTCTTCTTCCCTGGGCTAAGACATAGACTGGCCCAAAGTCATTAAGCTGCTTCTGTGCCTAAGGCATGATTACTATATCTTGCAAATAAAGTGTAACAAGGCCTCCCTGGGTTAAAGATATTTCAAGTAGTATTCAGCCCATTATAAAGTTCAGTTCTCCATGAGATTTCCATTGTCCGTTGAAAGAGTGTGACATCAGGAATGTCTTTGCAAGAGAAATACTTAAAGTACTTTTTCTATTTCTTTATGGCAGGGGTGTAAAACTGCCGGCCTATGGGCCAGATGCATCATGCCAAAACCGCGCCCACCCCATTGCAGGCAATGGGGGAAAAAGTCACGATACATAGCGACATGTCACATGATGTTGCGAGTTTGACACCCCTGCTTTATGGGATTCTTTTTTTAATCTAGGCTTTCCTTCATTTGTCCCTTCCGCTACTCATTGTTGATATGGGCCAAGAATTGGATGTGCAACAATAAAAAGAAATTGTTCTAATAAATTGTTCTGTACTTATTGCAAATTGTTTGAAATAATTTTAACTAATTAATCCAAGAGTTATATTTATGCCATTGACTATGCATTAAATAGATATGTTTTTTATTCTGAACTTTTAACAAAAATATTCACATAGCAGCAGGAAGCAAAATCCTAGATCATGTATTACATTTCTGGACACATTTATTGACGCTATAAGGCAGGATTTTTTGCTTCTTAACTAGAGTATTAAAAAAAACTATTTATTTTGCAGAATGCATTGTATTTTTCTAAACAGTAACTTGATAAACAACTTACAATTTTTTTACAAAATTTTGTAAAAACAAGACCTATTTGTAAATATTACACAATTTTTTTTCTCTTGTAGATCATCACTAAATATGTATATGAATTATTGGAAGAAGAATGCCATTTGAAAAAAGTATATCTTCCAGTAAGTTAAATGTATACAAATTTTTCTTAAAATACATTAAGTTGTAAAAATGAATGTAAGGAAATAATTTTTTATTATAACTTTTCTTTGTGAGGGCTTGTAAAACCCCATTTCTGAACAATGATAGTTCAGAAATTCTATTATTGCTCATGTTAAAGAACTCATTTGATTTTAATTTTTCCTCAATTTTATGAATCTCCCTAGGAAATACAAGTCCTTTATTTTGTTAACAACAAAGGGTAGTGGTGGGGGTATAATACTACCTGTGCTTGCGTCCAATTGCTGCTTCGTTTTAGCTTAATTTGGAAGAGGGTGTAACATAGTAGAAGTTAAACAGGCTGTGAATTTATACATATGCATGTAATACAAGCCATATTTTATTTTGAAGCATTACTTCAAGGTTAAATGTTTTATTCCAGATGTATTCCAGGGTGTAATGTGCATCTATTGTACAGATAAGTCTCCAAATTAAATCTCAAATGTTGTGTCTGCACTCTGTCATGATGGCAAGACCCATTTTCTTCTATTTGCTTTGATTCACAATTCAGCAGTGCTCCAAATGTGTTATAGGTGCTTTAAATTTAAAAATTCTAAGGATAGAACATAGTCTATCCTGTAATATGCTGTAAAAATCCATAATGGATATTCTTCATTAACTGTTGTGAATAGAAAATCTGCTGATGCTACAGTTCATCCAAACTTGTATCTGTGATCAACATGATTGTCTGGCTTTTGATATCACTTGATTATCTCAAGTGATAATTTTCTAAGGTGAAGCTTCATGATGGATACTCATGCTGTTGCAATTTTATGGCAGAAAAGGAAATGATGTTTTTGACAATACAACAATAGGTTTGATGACTGAGCACATGTCTGATATTTGTATAGTTATTTTTTGATGTAGGTGGGTACATTCATATAAAGGGGACATGTAGAGTATTTTTTCCACTGAACTCAAGAAAGGTGTTTTTTTTAATTGTATGTTTATGTAGTATTTATTCATGTCCATTATCTATAACTAAATCATTTCACATATCCTGTTATCATACCAGAATTATACAGCTTATAGCAAACTGGAGACATTGGCCTAAGGATTCAAATATAGTAATGTATTTTATGAACAATTAATTAGCACCAATCCATATGGATGTTTTTATAGAATGTTTCATTTTTTCCATGTAGAGTGATTTAAAACGTTCCATGGATATTGATCATCTATATACTACTAAAACTCTTACGTCTGTAAACTTTAATTGGGCGAAATGGTGCAGCATAGAGCATATGTAGAATGCTGTGATGATTTTTTTTTTGCTTTTATTTATTTGTAATCCCACCTTTATTATTTTTACAAATAACTCAAGATGGTGAATATTTCCAATATACCTTCCTCCTCCTATTTTCCCCACAAGAACAACAACAACTCTGTCAGGTGAATTAGGCTGTGAGAGAGTGACTGGACCCACTCACCCAGCTGGTTTTCATGGCTAAAATGTGACTAGAACTCATAGTCTCCTGGTTTCTTGCCTGGTATCTTAACCATTAGAACAAACCAGTTCTTATTTACTTTCAATTACTCTCCAAGGAATGAAATTTGGGGAAGTGGTGGCTCCTTATTGGTGCAATTTATTAGTTGTTCTAGTATCCCTGTAGAATTTATGGTGTAATAATACATAAAAAATGAATTTAATTTCCAGGTGCTTGGTTAATGGGGTGTTAGAGTGTCTGTCTTTAGCAATATGGACGATAAGATATTATGTCTGGCTTTGAAAAATGCTGTCCTCAGCCTGGGGAAAATTAGGTTCTGTACATATTTAGTTGGTTCCCAACTGTCATTGTTTATCCAATTTTTGCCATGTTTGGATAATCTATTAACTTTAGCCTGGAACTCCACATCTTTTATTCTTTGGGTGAGCAGTATCTTGGCTTGCTCATACCACAAAGACATTAGGAATCTTGTGAAAGCCCATATGATGCCAATATCTGCTCTACAGCTTGTTTCCTGGGAGGACAACATTTATCTTTTAATGCAGAAGCTATCACTTACATATAATGCTTCAGCTACTATTCAGAGTGCTAGCTTTATTCTTTTCAAATACTAAGTAATATGTAAAGGAATTTTTTTGGGGGGGATGTGAACTTCATTGGAACAAACATTTTAATGGATGTTAGATTAGACTGTTTCCCTCCTTCAACAACTTCTGATATTTGTGAACTTATTTTCTAATGAAGGATGTAGAGCTGCTTTTAAAAAGAGATTAAAGAGACTATGCAAGAGACTAAAGGGAGGACATATTAAATTACTACATTGGTTGATAATCAGATTAGTACATCTCATATCATGATCATTTAAAAGAAAAGTGAGGAGATTTATATCATGAAAATAAAAATTGCTGGAGACATTCTCACCAAACAAATTTGGTTTGTCAATAAAGTGTGACTGTGTGATACTATGACCTTTTATAGCTATAATTTAGTGAAAGTTTCATTTTATGTTTCAAGACAACTTAAAGATAATTTGGCTTGAAGGAATGTTTTCAAATGTAATTAAGATTGAAGTTGTAAAGGCTAATTCTAAGCCTTGGTACATATTGATTAATTTGTTTGTAGATAGATTAAATAAATATTTTCTAATGCATGGATCTTTATAATAAATACTTTTCTCGTAGTTTTACATTTGGTCCACTAATTGGAATTTTTGTTATTAATTGAATGTAAAGCTATAAACATCAGTCTTAATTATCTGCAGAGGATAAGAGAAAGAGAAAGAAAGATCAGTTCACAAACCCCCAAGATGTAGTGAAGTGGAAAAAAATGTATAAGTGAAAGACAAAATTGCTTTGAAAATACAGCTTTTTAAAACCAGCCAACTGCCAGCTACCTAATTATTGTACTGTAGCTGTGGAAAGAGACATCACAAAAAATATTCTTCCTCCATCACCTTCCCAAGAGAGAGTAACATTGTTCATTATGCATTCTAATTTAAAGTAATATATTGATTCACAATTGAAAAACATGATCTAAAAGTAGCTTGTTTCCCAGCTAATATTCTTTCTTGGTTCATCAAGTCAGCTAATTTGTAGTAGAAATATTTCACAAATATTTATTAATTAGTCACAAAAGGCTTATTGGATGATAAGGAGCTGGGTTGGTTTTACTGTCTTTTTATGGATTGGAACTACTACTCCATTCCTTGGGAATCTGCAGCGAATTATCACTGTAAGTAAATACAGGTACAGAGGCCCATTAGGGATCTTTAGAGAAATGATATTACCTACTCACCCACCCCCAACTCACAGCTTTATATTACTATTTCTAACAAATGGTTTAGCACACCATTTGTTGTAGTAGTGACCTCTGCTACTACATTCTATCAAACATGATCTGTAGCCATTTTCTCAATCTAATTTACCTAAAATATTCCATTCTGAGCTCTTTGAAAAAAGGATAATGTAGAAAGAGCCAAATTTAAAAAATGCTTACTGATAATGATGGATGGATGGTCTGCTGTTTCCTATTGAAGATAGTGTGCTCCCTTTCCCCCCCCCCTCCTTTAGGGCAAGGCAGTATTGGTTAGAAGTTTATTTTTTATATATCAGTCATAAATACTATCTGAATTGCTGATTGCAGGCAGTGTTTACTTCTAGTAACTTTTTATTATGTGACCTGTGTAATTGTTTATACTCACTAAATGTTGCTCTAATTTTAGGTAGATGCAGAAGAGACTGAACCTAGGAGTTTCATCTTTATGAGTGAGGATGCACTGATAAATCCTGATAAACTGATGATTTTAATTCAAGGCAGTGGTGTTGTCCGAGCAGGACAGTGGGCAAGAAGGCTTATTATCAATGAAGATCTGGACAGCGGCACTCAGATTCCTTATATTAAAAGAGCTATAGAGGTAAGATAATTATGGACTTTCCTAAAACAGAGGTTTCCAAACTTCGTGTCATGCTTTGGTTTCTGAATGGTATACTGCATTGGAGGCCAGAATTCCCAAAATGCTAGATAGGGTTAGGACAGAAATTAAATATGGTTGTTTTGATTTTAAATTGAATTTCAGTTTAATATAATTAATATAGTTATTATACTGGTACATATTTAACAAGCAATCACTTATATTACAGATTTAAATTTAATAACAACTTTTAGAGTTTTCTGAGAACTGTGTATAAAGCTTTTTAAGTGACCATACAAGGCTCTAAGCCAGGGTTCCAGGGAATCTCTTTTTAATGGGCTAATTTGGGGGATTAGTGTACACAATTCTGGGTATATATGTTATCTTAATGCATATCAAATGTGTACTTATTGTTTTATTTTCAAGTCATGCATGCAATTTCTGTTGTGTTTCAGAATTTTTAAATGTATTGAAATTCATTGTTACATGTATGGTTTAAAACAGAGAAATTAATGTAATGATTTGTTAAATTGGACCTTTTCTTTAAAAAAAGAATTCATTTTACTAGTTTAAAAGGTTTACTTTAGTTCTGTCTCAAATAAAAATTTTGTCTACTTATTATAAAAAGTTGATCTTATAAGGCACTTAAGCTCCTATGGTTTTATAAAGAAATGCATTTAAATACAATATATTTCTGTAAAGAATACTAGTGAACCAAGTGCTCTGTCAGATGCTTTGCATTGCAATGTTTTATAGTAATGTGTTACTATTGATTTATGTAGGTGAAATTCTGTGATTGATTTTATAATACCCCACTATAAGGATTTTCTGATTAGTGACAATTAAGTTTCTGATAAATTGATAAAACTTAATTTTCTTGAATTTTCTAAAAATCTGTCCTTTGCCACACTTCTGTTAACAAAATCTGGCAATAAAATTAACAGAAAAATAACAAGACAATGCAATACTTCTCATCAAGTAATAACAATAGCTAATTATTAGTATGTACAAAAAAACAACACATGCTGACCCAATCCAACTCAAATCACTCAGAAAGAGTATAGGAGGAGATAATAATAAGATAATAATAAGAGGCATGAAGATAAGATTAGATTCCCTACATACCAAGATGGAAGATTAGGTTTAGGAAAATAAAATTATATCCACATCACCTATAGTGACTACCTCAGCTGACAAACATTTGCAAATACACAGGTAATAAAAAAATCATTTTTCAATTAATGTATGCATTTACGACAAAATTCATGCACCTGACAACTATGCATGCCAGAGTGAATAATTGTGGTATTGGTGTATGAGAGAGATTTATCTGAATAAGGTTGCAGCAAGCAGTGATCATTGCAGTCTCCCTCTCTCTCTTAGTCACATGATCATTTAGCAACCCTTTTGCTTTATGATCTGGTCACTGCATCAGAACTTGGTCGCTAAATAAGGATGGGTGTATAAAATATGCCTTTATGAGCAATAACTGCTCTATAAGGAAAATTTGACAAAAAGTGAAAATTCTACATTTAAATCTAGGAAGCAAAAATGCAGTGCATCAGTTATTGTACCCATATATTTATTTATTTATTTATGAGACTTATATACCGCTTTAAGTGCAAGCACTCTCTAAGCGGTGTACACCAGTAAGCAATGTATATATATATTTACATTGCCTCCAACAATCTGGGTCCTCATTTTACTTACCTCGGAAGGATGGAAGGCTGAGTCAACCTTGAGCCGGTGAGATTTGAACCGCTGACCTGCTGAACACAGTCAGCTAAAGTGGCCTGCAGTACTGCACTCTAACTGCTGCGCCACCTCGGATGGATTCTGTAGAGCCCCAGGATTATATGAGGACTTGAGTGAATTCCATGGGACTGGAGGCAGGACATTGTGCAAGGGACTAAGGGAATAAAACTCACTTCTCTCTGCAAGAAATGAAGCCATCTTTCTCTCTTAGTGACAAGAGTTTTATCTTGCTCCTTTGTGGGGATCTTAATCACTCAGGTATAACAAGAAGGGCAAGAATTGTTAGCTGACTTTCAGAAGCACCACCCCTATTTATCAGGGATTCATGAAAAAGTCTACTCTCTTACCATGCTTGATATCCTTTATATTCCTTTTATGAAGATAGAATTATTTAGAATGTATGTTTTTTTAATTCTTAAATAATAGCTAAAATGAGTATGAATCAGAATCTTTTATGATAAAACTAGAAGATGAAGAATGTGCTAACCAAATTTAAACTAAAAAAAGATAGGTTACAGAAAATATAGCAAACAGTTGTATGTAATTAAAAATATAATTCAATTTTTAAACAAGCTTAATTGCACAGAATCATATTGCCCATTTTTATTTAATTGTTTCAGAAGAGACCTGATTCAGGGATTTAGAATATGTACATTTCTACTGAATTGGAGCCTAAACCAGTCTTTATATTTCCTGTACAATATCAACTAAGATACTTCAGTTGTTCATATAATTGAATAATAGATTTAGCCTTTATTTTTTTTCTAATATTCTCAGAATTATGGGATTTTCCAAAGCTGCATCAGATCAAAAAAATGCAAAATGTAATAATTGTTTTAATTTATTATATTGCCATCCTGCAGTTGCATGCAGTTTATATTCCTTTTGTAACCTCAGAGCATGTTAAAAGCATAATTAGCACTTTGTTGAACTAAGGTCTCCACCTCATTTTTGGCACAATCATTTTTTAAAAAGAAATATCTGCCAGTTTAAATGATAAATATCCACCAATTTCTTATGAGAAAGAGATTCAAATTTAAGTCTCCTTCTCAATAGTACAAGACTTTTTCCCCTTTGGTTCTGGGAATACAATTAAATTCCAACTAAAATAAGAGCCAAGTAGGCTCTTGGTTTTCAGAGGAATCAAATAATTACTATTTAATCCTTGATGTTCTCTTGAGTTTGGCTGGGGATTTATTTTAGGGTATTTCATTACCTAACTAGATAATAATATTAATGCAGGTGACTAGATATACAGTGGTCCTTCAGTATTCGTGTTTATTTAGTTCTGGGAGATGCATCGAGTACTAAAAAGGACAAATAGCAAACAAACCATGTGACTTACCATGTGAATCTTTGTTTCATCTGGGAAGGACTTCCTATCTGTTACTTATCTTATGTAAGTGACCTTCTAAGTATGACTGACTTCCTGTCTGCCCTCTACAGCTGTCCCCCACTTCCTTTTGTAGTGTATCTAGTATCAACCTTCTCAGCATGGCTAACTTCCTATCCAACCTCTGTGGCTGTTCCCCATTTCCTTTTGTAGTGTATCTAGTACCAAACAAAGTTGAGTACCGATACAACATTTTCATGTCAAAATGTGTCAACTACCAAATTCAACAAGTTTTGAAGTAGTCGAGTACTGAGGTACCACTGTACCTTAATCAAGGAACTATCTAGGAAAAAATCATACCCCCACCAAAACTGGCAGGGCAAGTTACTGTATAAATTAATGTAATCATACCCCCACCAAAACTGGCAGGGCAAGTTACTGTATATAAACATTCTCATTAGCACTGATGATGTTACCTATTTGAATATTGAAGCATTTGCAAGCATTCTCCACAGTTCAACTCTTAGCCACGTATATTGTCTTCTATTGTAATAAGTATTTAATTGTACCTATAGTTCATATCAAACTCATTTACATAACAACATAGAAATGAATGTATATGACCAAAGGTACTATTGAAAATCTGAAAATTAAATACCCATTTTAATGTGGCATTTGCAGTGAAATGCCATAAACATTTATTTTTTTGCTTATCAGTTTCTCCAATGTATCTAAGTAGAATTAAATAGGTATAACAATCTTGAATTTGCATTCATTTTAATATTTATTCTATTCTTTATATTTTTATTTATTTGTATTTTCATTCATCAATTAACTCTGATGCTAGGCAATACAGCTCATAGTTTTCTCATCTACTAACAAATGCTTTTTTTGAAAAAAATATTCTCAAATGTATAAGGTTTTAGAAAATAAACAACTGCCATTTTTGCATATTTCCATAAAATCTTTTTTGTTGATTGGCAATATATGAGATTCATTCCAGTCTATTGTATATCCAGAAAAATCTGTCATAGTATACAATATTAGGTAAAGCATTTTGGTAATTATTAGTAAGGCCTGACATACCATTTGTGTATAATAATAACACGTATTCAATTCCTGCCATTAGTATACTTTGAATACAAAGATTACAGAATCAAATTAAAGCAATTGTATATAAAGAATCCTTGACAAGTTGTATGATACATTTTAACTTGTAGTTGATAATGTAATTTGTAAGAACTTGAGCAGAAGGAATAAAATCAAGAAATAATGAGAAATCCATTTTTTTTCTCACCATAGGCTCCAGAAATGTAGTCTGTACATGTTAAAGCTTTTTGCATATCTAACATAGCCATGACTGTCATTTCAAGAGCTCAGGGTGAATTGCTGAAATATACACTAATAATATAATATTAGATTAGAGGCTTGGTATCTCTCATAAAATCAGATTGTGCAGAATATATTATTTATTTGATTTATTTGTATAATGCAAAGTCAACGATTCATGACACTTTACACTTTTAAAAAATATAAATTAAACCACAACATCAATACAAAATAAAACAGACTATATAATACACTGCAGTAATATAGTATAATAGTATTAACCTGCCTTGGGTCACATCAGCTGTCAAAGGACTATGGAATAGTTTTACCTTAGCAACCTTCATAAAACACACCAGAGTCGACACAAATATGACTTCTGGGGTAGGGAAACTATTATAAAAGAATATCTGCTCTAATCCTGTTTGTTCCTGTGTTTTTACCTCCATGAATTCATTTATCTTACAATGGCTTTACTTTGCAGAAAACCTTATAGTATATTTACACAGAATGTCCATATAATATATTTTGTCTTAAAATATGCTTCTATACACTTTTGGAGTTTTGGAGGCTTACATTAATTTATAGT